TTGGTTTAGTAATGACTCTCCCCGTTCCGAGACCGCATGGGTAAATCCATCTCGTGAATCACTATGTTGATGAAAATCTGCGCAGTACTTTTAATAAAAATGTGTAGAGACAATAATGGAATTGAAAAAACTTTACATTTGATTAGTGTAGAAACATGGGTTAATTTATAAAAAGTCAAAATAGGTAACACAATGTACACTTATAAATGTCAAAGAAGAAATATATGACATTTTAAATGCTTCTAAGAATTAATAAAAGGCATATAGAAAATAATAAAATTAATTAAACCTAATTAATTAATTAATTTATGGCCGTACCAAGAAAGTCACATTTAAGAAAGGAAAGTAACAAGTAATACAAATTAACACCAATGTGTGGCTACGATATAAGGTGCGGACGGCACAAACATAATGCATGCAATTAATAAGTTTACAATGATAAATAATACAAAAGGATTACAAAAAGACCATAGCAAAATAACCTAACAAAGTGATAACAGAATCCTTTAATCGGGTAGGAGATCCGAAATACCAAGATTGTTCGAACGCTGCCACCGATTGCACATTCTGGCCTAGGAAATGTGTTCGAGTTTCGAAATTAAACTACTTATTATAGTTAGTAGCGTTTGTCGAATAATAAGTAGTCTAATTATCATATGCTAAATTGTAAGGTCTGCATATGTTAATTCTTTCATATATTAATCATGTTTATGTTTTATTGTACTTAATAAAAAACCGGAATTGATAAGAGACCTTAACTATCCGTTACGCTTGGTGGTGACCATGTCTTGTACTCTTGAAGGTAGCCTTGCGAATCTCCTGGTAGATAATATGGTGTTACAGATTTAATATTAAGTAAGCAGATTTACTACAATTTACCCCCTTGTCAGCAAAAGTAAGCAAAGCCCTCAGAAATAATAACATAAGCGTATAATTTTTTGTAGGAATGCAAGAAAATGCGTTTCGTTTTCCAGTTTCCCGCAAAAATTACTGTTGCCATAATAGGTGATTTTTCTATATTTCACTTTTGCTAATATTTCCTTTTCGTCCATTTCGTCGGCTCTAAAGTACTTATTTGGGTAGTACCTATATATATTAATTACAATGATAACGACCTCTTTACGTGTTAATACTATAAGAAATATTAGTTCTACTAGAATGACATCTTTCTCTTTTTGGATGTTACAAACAGAAACTTTGATTTCACTTTTGTTTTGTTGCCTTTTTTTGGCATTTATTTCTAGACACAACCTCGTCTTGACTAATGTTTGAAATGTCTGTGACATAAAAAATATTGGTTGTGTCTTTGGTGTGTGTGCTACGCATTTAAAATTGTATGCAAGAACCCATCGGTATATTTATACAAATACCAATATCAAGGCAATGTATGGCCTAATATTTCTGTAGAATCTAAGTCATCGTAAATCTGTCAAATTGATGCTACAAAATTTCGCTGAAAAGCACTCAAAACATGAAGTTATGTAAGTAATGTAACAAAATCTCGATTGACAAATCATGAATGTGACTCGTTTATCACAGATACTATTTTTGTAATTATTAGGTTAATCTCACTTTCTGCTTCAAGGATATGCTGTCTGAACTCTGAAGCGTCCGAGAAAAATGTTTCGAATGGAATATAAACATATTTCTTCAGGCGAACGAAAGCTTCCTTCAGAAAAGTTGTTTGAATAAGCTTTCGACTTTTGCAAAACAGTTGGTAATGTCAGCCTAAAGAAATGCGAATTCGTGTAATTATTCCATATTTAATGTATTAATGTAAATGCACTTTTCTTTGAGAATTCCAAAGAGTAAATTATGAAGTTGGTTCCTTATGAAATTATTTTCGAGTCTATTTAATGGTAATTAATTTAATCTACAGAGTGCAATGAGTTATTTTTATCTTGTCGTCATTACTGATGTACCTTTGTCGATTTATTATACTGGGCAGAAAACTCAGCTTATTAAGTGAGATGGGCACACCCAAAATAAGATCTTACTCTAGACCAGTGTTTCCCAACGTGGGGCCCTAGTGGGGGGCAATAGCGGGGTACAACCCCACAATTTGATTGTTAAGTCAAGCCAAGTCAAAATCTTTTATTCATATAGGTAACACAATGTACACTTATGAACGTCAAAAAAGAAATATATATATTAAATGCTTCTAATTTTACTTTTACTGCCAGTTCTCAAATCATGGGGGGCGCTCATCAGCTAGATATAACAACGTCGAGACTTGAAACTGAAGCTAACCAAATTGGAATCCAATATAAAATCTCTGCGCAGCAACCATTTGGTGCAAGGTTCTCACTAAATTAAAATTATTTGAAAAAAAAATTGGAATTTCAGTTTTTTATTGTTTTGAAAATTCACTTATTGTTTCGTTAACAATTTCTTAGTGATTTCGTTAAACCTATATTTTAAATTTCTTAATATATAAATTATCTATGTTACATAGGGTGGGGGGTATAGGAATTTTAGGTAGGCTAAGGTGGGGCATGGCATAAAAATGGTTGGGAAACACCGCTCTAGAAATTTTCGTATTATTTATTAATTTAAACCCGTTTAAAGACCTACACAAACACACTGAAAGCCTGTTTAAAGAATCTCATAGGCTTCGGAACTTTGTATGTAATTGAGACGGACTTTCGGACGGACGGAACTTTAATATCCCTTACAGTATACGTGTAAAAGGCTCGTTTCCCCGGGAAACTATTAGAGCGGTGCATTCGCTCAGCGGAAACGTGTGACGCAATGTAACCTTCACACACGGCGGCCATCTGAGCCAATTGCTTACTTTATCAAATTATTTGTGGACGACCTTGAATATTGCATCTTGAATATTTGATAGAAATGTTCATCGAAGCATAACGAAATGTGCTAAAATTCTTTAAATATTTTAATCTAATTAAGTTAGATACCTCGACTGACAAACGTCAGATTGCAAGTCGAGTGTCAATGTCAACCCAATGGATGATAATAAAATACCAATTTTACCATGTGTCTTTCACTATCCATACTTGCGTATCACTATTTTACTAAACAGTAAATTAAAAAACTACTTTTATATGTCGCGCTTCTAAACAAGACTGCTATGGTTATATCAATACAAACCACAGCGGTTTTCTGATGTAACTTATTATGATTGTATTATATTTTTTTGTAAAATAAAGAAATTAAAAAAAATATACTTAAAAATAATTCATGTGTGATAAAATTCATCTATCGCTAGTCCCCGCACCAGGGAGTCCCTGTGTTGTGGGTAACTAGATAACAATTATTACGTGGTACATGTTTAAAACAGTTTTTTGAGAAGAAATAGGTTTAGTAACTAATCAAATACATGTCTTTCTTTCTTTTTCTTTTTTTATGGCTCTGGCACGATTTGTGCATTAGCCAGCGTCAAGTATAGGACTTTTTATAATTCGTGCTTGTCTTTTAGAAATTCGACAGTGCCCTTTATGTACGGTTTAAGCACTCGCCCGGTACCGCACAACCCTCCCAAAGGCCGAGAACAAATTTAAATTAAATTAAAACTTGCCCTCGAACCGGGAATCGAACCCGGTACCCTTCACCTAGCTGCCACTTAATAAGACCGCTAAGCTATGAGGCCCCCAAATACATGTCTTAAAAGACATTAAGTATGTGTGAATGTGTGTGTGTGCGCATGTTTTTAAGAATATAGCTAAGAGTTGTTATAAGCGTGCGCTGTCTTTGTTAGTTTTTGGCACCTCCGAGTCATGCCAAGATACGTAGTAAGTCTGTAGATTCAAATCAAATTCAGATAGCGTAATTTGTATGAGATTTGTGAGTTTGTATCTGGATAGTTTGACTATCTCAGAATCCATAGATTGGGAAATTTTATTATAAAAGAGGGGGCCCCTAAAAGCAATGAAGCGTTAGACTTATAGGCTGCTAATAGTGCTAATGCAGCATGACACTCCCACTACTTGGACTAACTGACTGCGCTGGTGGAAATAGTTGTTCAATTATCCCACCAGAGGCCGATGGGATCGTCACTGCCCTACGCCTTAACAATCCCTTAGTCACCATTTACGACACCCATGGGTAGAGATGGGGAGGTGCTATTCTATAAGCCGGCATTACACGGCAAAAATGTGTCTATGGGCTGCCCCCCTATTATATAAAAATAAATATAGTTTTGGATTAAACTTACCTTATTTTAAAAATAAATATTGTCTATATTGTTTATGATAATGGGTGAAAGAATCTTTGAAATCGATCCAGTAGTGTTCGAGTTTGTTCGTTAAATTATAATACATATTTCTAAGTAATACTTTAAATGTTATGGCTACATTTTGGGATGGTAACTTAATATTAAAAATTCAAGATTTTGTATATTGTTGGTTTTTCCATTGCATATAACATTGTAAGCACATTTATCACAACCGTTCTGGGAATACGGAAGTCACATGTCGTGAAATTGAGAAATCATTTCAAGGGGAGCGTCTCCTACATTATGGATAATATTTGACTCTCATTATCTAAAGCTCTTCACGCACGTGCAACCTGGCATTCCGTGTGTCCATGTGCTACAAATACAACTATATATTAATATCATGATACTATACAAAAGATACACAAATACCTATTTTTAAACTAAACTAGCTGTATCAAGGGTATTTTAAAGAGTAAAAGCCTTTGGCTAAATCTCTTTCTATATTAAGTATTTTTGTGCCAATCTTCTTTGAGCTTGCAAGAGAGCAACCTCTCTTTCGGTTCCCTGGTGGGCCTTTTCTTGTTACCCAGTATGTTCATCTGTCATTGTTAATGCGAGCGTCTATTTCAGGTAATTTTATTCCCTAGTGGGATAGTGCATCAATAATTTTAGTTTTCTTTCTTATTTCTCTATTAATTTATCCGGTAGTTTTAAATTTATTAAGTACACTGCGTACCATTCCTGGTTGACGTTCGTTGTTATTTTTTTATTTAGTCATAGACACAAAATAATAATAATCAAAAAAGAAAAATAACATTAAATTATGGAAAGAAAAAAAAAACGAATAAGGTTTATTGTAAGTGTGGAATGTGTGTGCGTTGTGGTTGTAACTGGCCCTGGCTCAGCATTATGCTGTGGAGCAGACGTGTTCTACAGCGCTGGTCTGTCAGAGACCACAACAGTTAGTTTGTGTTCAAGTATCATATATCCATGCAGCAGTGTTGGCCTAGTGGCTTCAGCGTGCGATTCTCATACCTGAGGTCGTAGATTCGATCCCCGGCTGTGCACCAATGGACTTTCTTTCTATGTACGCATTTAACATTTGGTTGAACGGTGAAGGAAAACATCGTGATAAAACCGACATATCTTAGACCCAAAAAGTCGACGGCGTGTGTCAGACACTGATCACCTACTTGCCTGTTAGATTTAAAAATGATCATGAAACAGATTCAGAAATCTGAGGCCAAGACCTAAAGAGGTTTTAGCGACACTAATTTTTTTTAAATCATATATCCATGACTGACGTAGAATATAGAATACAGATGATAGAAAGAAATGGCATGATTCACGAGTCTAAGACACTTTTAAAACCTTATAAATTTTTTTTCAGATTGGCCGGTCGTCGGAATCTCCGATCGACTTTGTCGTCATGGACACAGTAGCTGGCGATAAGACAGGTGATACAAAAGTATTGCAAAGCACCATATCCCGATTTGCGTGTCGCATCATAGCCGACCGCGATGATGTTAACAATTGTCGCATTTTCGCCGCCGGTTTCGACTCGTCAAGAAATATCTTCCTTGGGGTATGTATAAAGGATAATATCATAATAACTTGGGTGACCAAATTTCATATTTCAAATTTGGTTCAATTTAAACCCTGAATAAATTTAGACCCTGGTTTAATTAAATGTGTAAGAGTGGAGGGTAGCAACACGGAGGGGAACTTCGGTCATTTCTCTTTAGAGGTAGATGATTATTCTATGTGGTGTACGTTTAAACATTTGTTACTCCGGTTTCCAGTTTTATAGAACAGGGGGAAAACAGGCAGGAGACTCTCCTGATGTTAAGTTATACGAGAATGTAAGTGCTTGCTCCTATTTCACCATGCCTCCTGCTGATAGAGAACAAATCTTTGTTTTTAATTTATTTTATTATTATTAATTACTTAAGAAGTCATGTGGAACATGGTGTAATGGTTGCAACTCCTTACAAACATTGTCTGAAACAAAAAACATGGCGATTAAAAAGAGTGGCGGAGAGTTTATTGCCAGTTTTCTCTTCCGTTCTACGCCCTTGAACTGGCAGTTAATGTAAAATTAGAAGCATTTAATATGTATTTCTTTTTTGACGTTCATAAGTGTACATTGTGTTACCTATATGAATAAACGATTTTGACTTAGAAACTCTCAATACCAGTGGGCTCGCGAGTGCGTTGCCGGCCTTTAAATAAGGTTTATATATGGTATATATGTCTGAAGCCGTACTATACTCCCTTACGGTTACGGTTGATTTTAAAATACAAAACATGTCATGATAAAGGATCACTTAATCCAATTAAAAGACTGAGTCCCTTGAAAATGAGATATCCAACTGGGCCGAAACAGGAAGTGGTTTTGAAGTATCATTTCAAACCACAACTGTGATCGGGGTTGGTTCCCTCGTGGTCTTCGGGTCGATTAAATCAATAGGAATACTACAACTTAATGGGAAATGAAGGAATTTTATTGAACACCACAGGAAGTAATGAGAAGTAATTTTCAGTCTTCATACTAATATGTCTGTACTAGTAGCGTCATTTGCATCTAATACAATAAACACAAAAAACGACGTCAGATTGAAGTGCAAGAAAACATTTCTTGCTGCGTTTATTCTAATAAAAAGCAAGATTTATTTTAAAATACAATATCCAGGTAAAATAAGAACCGATACGCAAACCGTACCAAAATGTACGCAAATAACATTATTGTCAAGAGCTTAGATTTGGTAACTGGTCGTTGAATCGTGGTGTGTAAAATATTTTTTTAAATCATGTATGTATTTATTATTGGTTTTATTGAAATATGTTTAGAACTAAATTTACTTAATTATGTTCGCGCTGTCGTTATTTCTATTATACTATACAAACAATAATCGAAATCGCATGGTAGTTTTAGTATTTAGGGTAGAAATTTAGCCAAACTTGATATCCGAATGTAAAAATCCACTGCGTGTTTTCAAGAGTACCTGCTGCTCTTAAGATGCTGGGTGCAAGTCCGGAGTTCACATCAAAGGCGTTCATAAAACATAAAAATACCGATACATCCATTAAAAACTGTATTTTCGAAACAGGATTTTATTTAGTTTGCTATATTTTTTCGAAGTTCTTTTTGGAATATTTATCTTTAACAGTTAACAACGTTCGAAGATAATTTAAATACAGTTTGCCTTAACTATATCCCACGACGTCGTATGGTAACACAATTTCATTAATTAAAAAAATTAAGTAAACGTATTCACGATTTATAACCACAGATATCCGTTCGTCTATCTGTAAATTTACTATACCTGCAAGATGTTGGGTTGAATAGAAATTATAACTTTGTTGGTGAATCTAAAATAAATTTAAGTTGTTTGTTAATTGACTATTTGATAACGTCTCTCCAACAGTAATCCCAAGCGAAATTAGAGAATTATCACTAAATTAATTCAAAGCCCTCGTTAGACGTAAATTAATCAATAAAGCTTTTTATAAATCTGACGAATACTTAAATGATCCTAATCCTTAGGATTGATTTGCTCCAGTTCAAACAATTTGTATGACTTAAAACTTGGCGATTGGGAATAGTGGCGGATAGTTTCTTGCCAGTTCTTCTTCTCCGCTCTACGCCCTTGACTTGCGAACTGGTAGTAAATGTAAATTTACAATTAATTTAACTTTTTTTTGTCGTTCATAAGTTTACTTGTCTACCTATACGAATAAAGATATTTTGAGTTTGAGTTTGTATAAGGAAACTGTCAAGTTCATTAGTTTAAAGTATGTCAAATTCAAATAACTGAAGTAGGAATTGTAATTCCCCAGTCGGTCGCCTGGTAATTCCTGGTAGAATACAAATGCCTTTGGGAAAAAATTGTTATTGGTTATTAGTGGTAAGGTTGTTCGTTGCTTGACATAAAATCAAAGATATTATAAATTAAAAACAAATAAAATAGATCACGTATAAATTACTTTTTAATTAAATACAAATCGAGTCAACAATTATATTTTTATCTGTCGATATTGTATGTGCTGTTAAAAATTGTGTCATTCGTGTCTATGATAACAAACATTCCATATTTCAAAATCATCAGCCTGTTCACAGATTACATTAGTAAAATTTTCAGGAGAAAGCAACAAAATGGTCGGAGAATCACGAAATAGACGGTTTGACGACGAATGGCGTGCTTATAATGCATCCCAGGGGCGATTTCTGCGGGGGCAGCGCCACCTGTGGCCCGTGGCGTGAGACTTCAGTCGGCGGGGCTGTCTTTTCGCTTAGGGAGAGCCGATCTGCTCAGCAAAAGGTATATAAAATAAATAAATCAACCGCTACAACCTTTTTAGGTCTGGGGCCCGTGGCAAATTCTTTTGATGGGGCCCTATCAGTAAAAATCGTCACTTTAATTTTAATAAACTTCGAGATTTTCAGCGTACTCAATTACACGTTGTATATGTCCCACTAAAGGCCATAGGTCTCCTGCACAGAAGGCTGATCATCTACTTGCCTATTCGATTGACAAATTATCATGAAACAAGTACAGAAATCTGAGGCCCAGACAGTGGCGTAACAACAGGGCTGGCAAAATGCCACGGGCTCCCGACCCAAGAGGGCCCCTGCCCAAGAGGCCGCGAACTCAAAAATATTTCTTTATTTTGATCGCGTATAGTATCTATTATAGTCAGTTAGATACAATTTAACGTTATTTTTTTAACAAACTTAAAATAATGATTAAATTCTCAATAAATATATCTTATACCTAAGCTACTAATATAAAATTTAGGACAATATTGTAACTAACACAATAATGGATTAAGATTGTCTGCTTAAATATATCAATTATTAATTGCTATTTTTAGATCGAACTGTCGTTTGTGACGACACACCATATATATATATATATATATGTGTAATTAAATTAATACAAATAAAATGACTGAGATGTCCTCGAAACATAATACATTTGTTTTGACAAATTGTGTGTTATTTTGTCTATAGCATCCAAGTCGTTGAATTTAATTGTTATATCTGCGTTCTTCAGATTTTAATCATATTAATGAAATGCTTCAGGGACTACCATGTCAGGAAGAAACAAATGTACTGCGGGATGGGACCATGATAGACTTATGCGGTGCCACACTTTTATGGAGAAGTGCTGAAGGACTGAAAAACTCACCGGTGAGAATATTTCTATTAAATTGCCTCGTTCTTTAGTATGTTAGCCTCCAGGTATCCCTAAGTATACATTGCCCTATTCTTGGGAGTAGTGGGTGTTGTAACTCATGAATGTAAAATACGTTGACCCGTGTAGGTCGGAGAACCTGCGTCGTCATGATATTGTCTGTTTATATGAACGGGAACTGAATACCGAACGGATTTTTATATAGTTTCTCCATTAGATAGACCACCTTTTCAGGAAGGTGTAAATGTATACATTGTTTTTATATAAATGAACTGACGTAATGTTGTAGTGGAAAAATAGTAAAATTTATTATAATAATACAGTGTTTTTTGATGATTTTCTATTTTGAAAGAGTATCGAGAGTTTTTTACGCCGGTTTTTTCTCTCGGCCTACATCCTCTGTCTTCTTTGCTGATGAGTAGGGATGTCTACCGTAACAATTTAATGACGTGGAATAAGTGATACCTGTATCTTATATTCCATAATAAACCTATTTTATTTTATTTCAAAACCGTTTACAACGACATCGTTTAGAACAACATACCGGTTATATTGACCAAAATCAAAGGTCCAGGCTGAATTCTATTGTATTAGGTTCTTAATAACAACGTCATCGGCTGTTACGACTATCGATTTTTACGACCAAATATGAGTAGTCCCTTCGATGTCGATAACAGATTTTGACTGTATTTCTAATAATTTCCAATATTTCAGACAAAACGCGATCTAGAAGCACTTGTGGATGAACTAAACGCGGGTAGGCCACAATGTCCCGTGGGTCTAAATACACTGGTCATACCGAGGAAGCTGTCTACTGCTCATCAAGACCTGAACCAGCCCTATGTATACCTTAATTGTGGACATGTTCAAGGTATAGTCACCCGGCATATAAACGTGTAATCTAGATATATATAATATTTATATAATCTCATTCGGTAATATTGAAATGAAATACAGGCTTTTATTGGAATATTTCATTATTCTCCTAACAAAACAATGCTTTAAAACAATTTTTTAATAATTAAAGTACAATGTGTCCCGACCAAGGAACTGGCAAGAAACTATCCGCTACTCTTTTTAATCGCTAAGTTTTGATTCATAGAAATTGTTTGAACTCAAGCAAATTAATCCCAGGGATTAGAATCATTTAAGTATTGGTCAAATTTATAAAAAGCTTTATTGATTAATTTACGTTTGAATTTATTCAGTCATAATTCTCTAATTTCGCTTGGGAGTTTGTTGTAAAAACGAATACAATTTTCATATCAGGAGTGGGCAATCAGAGATGCCTAATATTTTTTTAATATTCCTTAGGCGAGCACTCCTGGGGTGCGGAAGGTAGTGAGACGGGCGTGCGTCGTTGCCCTATGTGCCTAACAGCTGGATCCGTAGTGCGTGTTTGTATGGGAATCGAACCCGCCTTTTACGTTGACTCCGGTCCGCCCACCTATGCGTTCAACCCCTGCGGACACATGGCTTCGGAAAGGACAGTCAAGTGAGTTTCTTTATATTAAGTTTAAATTATTGATAAAGAATCAAATTGATAATAATAAACATTGGTGCTATAAGGGACGTTCCCTCAAGTATTACATAACGCATTTTTTGGAGATTATTGACCCCCCCCACATGTAACTCGCCGTAACGTTTTTCAGTACCCAAGTACAGTGCTGTAAATAAAACAATGTAATTATTAACAATAACGCGTAACCCCGCCCCGCATCGTAACGTTTTACGGCCTGGCCACGGGGATCGGCGGTGCAAACGGCGATGCGGGAGGCGAGGCGACCATTCACGCGGTGCCATTTGCAGGCCACGCACCAGTCACGTTCGCCGCCGCGACCAGTAAGGAAGTTCGACAGCGAAATGTCTTTATCGAAATCATCTCGATATTGCTTGGAAAGTAATAGCTTTTGGTTCAAGACCTAATATTTGGAAGAGATTGTGGAGTCATGTACATGTTAAATAAGAATCGAGGTATAGATGGAGAATTCCACAAAAAGTACGAGAAATACAGAATATATCCAGAAAAGTTTTTTTGAGTATACCAGAATGAGTACTGAAACATTCGATTATATTTTTATGTATATTTAACCAGGATTGGAGAAAAAAGTTAATGCAAATAGAATTTTTTAGTTAAGCCAGTATATCAGTAATAAAAAACTCTGAATTCATTTTTCGCCGCGAAAACGACTAATCTTATTTAATCCCTGCTCTATTCGCCGCGACTGCCGCTCGACTCCGTGGCTTGCGCCGTACTGATTCATGCATTTGTTTCGCTCGCCCGTCGCGACGCCAGTCGCCCGCGCGATTCGCTCGGTACATTTCGCCGGTCGCCGTTGCGCGTGGCTTGATTAGTATTTCAGTCGCTAGACGCATCGCCGTTCGCACCGCGCGAATTTTCGCATCGGCGAATGTCCCGTGGCCAGGCTGTTACAACAGGACCCCCCAATACGTTACGTAATACTTGATCGCTCCCTTAGGCATGAATAAAATTTGATATTAAATTCATAAATGCAGTTATGGGATTAAAAAAACTTGTCCGAAACACAAAATTTCACGAAAATCGGTCGAGCCACTTCGGAGGAGTTTAATTGCGAGAATTTTATATATGTCGTGGGCTTATCGTTAGATTGGCCAGATCGAGATATGCCCGGGCACTTCTTGAAACGCCGGCACATCATGATTCGGCCGGGCATATCGCGATGGCCAAGTAAAAGGTTGGGCAGTCGACGAGAATAACGTATTTGTCGATATTCCGCTGTCTTCGCGCCTCGGCTTTGTTTACGCGAGCGGAAGATGGCGGCGTTACAAACAAGTGAATGGGTGTTGATATTATCAAAATGAACAGTGAAAACGAAACAAAAGTGCATTTAAAGAACAATATTACCATCAGTTATTGATTTCTATGAGGGACATAAAGATTCTTCGCACAATGTAAAAACCATGGACTTCTCAACGATTTAGAGGTTAGTATTTAGTTGATAAACAAGTTTTATTTTTGCATAATAATGTGTAGGTGATGGTTTCTCTCATGTCATATGTATTAAAATTCTAGATTGATTAAGTAACTAATGTTTGTACGCAAGTTCCATTTTATTTTTAGGTATTGAACAAATAAAAAGAAGTAGGGTGACCATGCAGGGGCTTTCGGACTATTATTGAGTGCAAAATATGATGTCATGGAAACTTCTGACAAAGATTACTTAATTTTCAAAAGAAAACTGCGATGATCCTACAGTGCGATAGTCGCCGTAGATGAATATTTTGATATATTAACAGAAGTTCACAAAGCTGTTGGGCATGGTGGCAGAGAAAAAATGATATATAGTATTAAAAACAAATTTCACATACCGAAAAAAGCTATAGAAATATACATTAAATTGTGTGAGTGTGTGAAATGAAACGTTCCATGCCAAAAAAGGTATAGTGACAAAACCAATTATATCACCAGATTTCAACTCACGAGGTCAGGTAGACCTTATTGATTTACAATCAGCTCCGACGGGGAATACAAGTGGTTAATGAATTATCAGGACCATGCTACCAAGTTTCTACACTTGAGGCCATTGAAATCTAAGATGGCTTGGAGGTGGCGTTTGAACTATTTAAAATATTTTTGGAGTTTGGTGCACCATTAATTTTACAATCTGATAATGGGAAAGAGTTTACAGCTCATGTCATTGAAGAACTTGTGCAGTTGTGGCCAGAATGCAAGATCGTTCATGGAGGCCCTAGACGTCCTCAAACGCAAGGAAGGTCGAACGTAGCAACCAAGACGTAGAAAACATGTTGCGTTGTTGGATGAAAGATAATGATTCTGCTAATTGGTCTGTGGGTTGTACTTCGTACAGTATTATAAAAATTCATCTTTTCATCGTATAATTGGTAGATCACCTATGTGCTTGTTCGGTTCTGACCCCAAAACATTACTGAAAGGTACTAATATCCCGGACAGTGTTATTTCATCTATTCAAACTGAAAAGAAGAATACTACGACAACCTCGATGGAGATAATCTTGCCTGAAGGGACAAATGTTGATGGCTTAAGTAGTAAAGCACTAAGCTTGATGATGAGATGGTTTCGGCCAAAGTGAATATTTCTGAAGATTAAGTGTAAGGATGCCCCAACATGTATAAATGCGGCACCGGGCTGCCAATATGCAGACAGTGTTATTTCATCTATTGAAACTGAAAAGATGAATATTACGACAACCTGATGGAGATAATCTTGCCTGAAGGGACAAATGTTGATGGTTAAGTAGTAAAGCACTAACCTTGATTGAGATGGTTTCGGCCGAAATAAATGTTCCTAAAGCATTAAGTGTACAGAACGTCCTAACAAGTGTAAATTGGAACGGGCTTGCAATCAAGATCTGAAAATAGAAAATATTGAAACCGCCGAACAAAAACTTGAAGCAACTAATTGTTCACCCAGAAATGATACGTCTGTATAGAAGATTTAGCTTTGCAAACTGTTAAAGAGCTTCTACTAGCAAAGATGTTTTTGTCTTCAATTAAGGGTTTAGCCAGTAGCGACACGTCACTAACGACTAAGAAAGCCGACTGCAATACGCAGATTTGTTTGGTTTGTACAAAGAAACAACTGGAGCTCATAGTTGTAGATCGTGTTTAAACCAGTTCACGTTATATGTGGTCTCACTGACGGTGAAGAAGGTTAGGGTCTCAGATTTTATGTTTCATATGCAAAAGAGAACAAGACATTGCAAAAGAAAGAGCACAAACTCTTAAAGGTACCAAACGGGCTGCAGAAAAAATGATTGACCAAACAGTCAAAAAGCTTCCGTTATTAGAAGTTGGTAATAGGCTTGATAAATGTTCCAAAATTTGATGTGACCACTTGATACCAAGAACATCGCAGGTAAAATTGTTGACATTAGGAATGGTGTATTTAAAATTGGTACTACTTCTGGAACAATAAAAACTGGTTCCCGAGACAAGAATTACAAATTTCAGCCAAAGATTATAATGGAGACATTTCTGAATCATTTATAACATTGGTCATGCAGTCACATGTCAGTCCATGTTTGGAGGTCAAGGTTTCCAGAAATGCTCCTGAGGCCTGCCAGAAATCAATGTAACCAAAAGGTGTGATGTTATAAGAATAATGTTCTTGCACTTCAAAATGTCATCAAAGTATATCATGCATCAACAAATGATAGATATCTCAAAAAATATTTGACTTTCCTTTAATATTCAATACAAATTTATTTTCAACTGATTAAGTTTTGTTAGTTTAGGAACACTTTTTAAGTAGGTACCTATTTAATGTTTATAAACATTTTTTAATTTAATTTCTCTTTTGATGGGGTTGTGGGTTGTTTTACCTATTTCTAAAGATTTTTAGGTATTTAAATGTAGAGTTTGGTACTTATTTTATTACAAAGGGTGTGATTGAAGGATTTTTAAATTTTTGACGATGTATAATGTTGTATATTTAATAACAAATAATAGGTAACTATTCTTTGAAAAACTATTTGACGTTCCTATTAATAAAGTTTTTTCTAGATCGATATTAGTTACACTTTATTATTTAAATAACTCATTTTTAATTTATCAATTTTTTAACATTTTCATTAATTAGGTCGAGTAGGAGGTGTGAACATTTTATTAAACCTTATGTTTATAACATATTTTATTTGTAAATAGGGTTTTGTTATTTCTTCCAAAGAACTGTGATTCATGGCACATTTGGAATTTTAAAAAATAATGTAAGTTAGAGCTTAAACAATAATTATTTTCAATTTTAATAAACATTTTAATTCTTAACTTTATTTTTATTTGCTAAAACCTTGGACACCCTACATAATCGATATGTAAAGTATCTCTGGCCAAATCGCCAAACGTTAAGTGAAGATAGCTGTGAGGCCAGATCATGGCGAGTATCAGTTGTGGGATATTCGATCTGGCCAATTAGATAGAGACATATATAAGTTAATAATAATTGCCTATATTGCTGTAAAATACGTATCCTAGAAATGTGAAGTACAATAATAACTAATTCGGCAAGCCGGTTAATTTCTATTTCTATGGACATAGGCCTCCTCTAAGAGCTTCTCCTCTCGGTGTCTAGCTTTACGAAGCCAAAGCTGCTCTACTTATATCATCGTCCTATCTTTTTATTTGTCTTCCTTATTTTCGTTTGTCATAGCGAGGATGCTATTCCGCCGCTTTTTTCTTTCATTTAACTTTGTTTTCTCTCATAATGTGTCCTGTCCATTTCAGTCTTTTACTAGAACTTATTGTATTATACTATATATTTTTAAATTAATTGAATTTCAGATATTGGGCAACAGTGGATATTCCGCACGGAACGAACGGATTTCACGCGATTTGTCCGTTTTGCGCAGCACCGTTACAGGGCACACCCGGTTATGTGAGACTCATCTTTCAGGACAATCTTGACTGAATATACGAGCGAATGGTAATATTACTTAAAAAATTTTTTTAGTTCTCCATATATTTTCGAATACCCCCTTCATATAACCCCTAGTTTCGAAGTTTTTAGTAAAAATAATAGTACATAAACATATAATTTTTTATATAAGAAGGCCTGTGATTCCACAATAGAGTATCAGATTGTGTGTTTTATTTATTTAGTCAAGTTGGTACTGCTTACAAAAAAAATACATTTCGTCACTTGCTTTGAAACGACCCTAGAGTTAGTTTTATCCTTCTACTTAAAACCACTGTTTTAAATAAGTTATTTCTTTACAGGTTTGCTAGTATCAGGTAACCGAAGACAAGGAACACGAAATTTTTATGCATTAGTTATGACTACCCTCCGTTTCTTGAGGGTACTTTCATGACTCACCAAAATCATATGGAATCTCATTTAATTCCTATAAAGGATGCTTTTGGTTACGTAGAAAAATATAGTACAAACATTACTTGCCTTGTATTAATATGTTTTTCGATGGTTTTAAGCAATAGTATTAATACTAAAGGCATCCGATAAATTAAAGTTTGATTAAAATTGGGAAATAATGTATCAGCAATAATTGATTGTAGTAAAATACTTGATGTTCTAGTGGCGATGGATCCAATTTTAAAATGTAGTAAATTTTTCACGAACAGATCCCGTTTAATAACAAGTCTCGATTCTGAAAATCTAAGCTCTAAGTTAGACTCCCGTATGGCTAAAACGTATGCGAAGTTGACTTACGGAAGTCAAACTTAGGCTTATTGTGTTGCTACATTTAATTTTTTTGCAAAACTATTATTAAGATAGTGTTTGTTGCAACACTGAACTTTGACAATTGACTTTCGTCAATTGTTCCTTTTTCACACGCCAACTGATATTTAACGGACTGTCCACTTAGAAGACAGAGCTGTAATGTGAACAGATAAAGGCATGATTTCCGCGGAGAGATTTTCAGTAGAATACATCATTAAGCGGGGTTCATATCTGAAGTGCCAGCAGTGTTTTTGATAATTGAAGATAAAATGAGTTTAAATTTGTCTTACCCAGGTGTTGATATTTTTTCTTGGAATATATTTTGAATACCTCCATTTAAGTTTCATATAATTTCAAGTGTTCGTGTATTTAAATGTAAGATAAGCTTTGTAAATCGCTCTCGAACATTTATAACAATTTCTGCAGATTATTTTGCTATATGCGAATAAATATGTGTAAATATAAGTTTAATTTATGTTTTTGTGTGGCTTAATATAAGACGTATTAGTGGACCGAGCTGAATATAAGAAATTTCAATACACAGCAGTATCACTTTATATTTAGATGTCTGAAAAACCAGTACAATATAATATGAATAAATCATTTACATAGAAAAAAAGAAATAGTGACATTTCAGACGCCATCTTCGTTGGTACAAAGATGGCGCCGTAACCATGGTAACATATTTCCTCACTCATTTTTTAAGGAATAAACTTAAAAAGTAAATAAATTGTAAATTGAGTGAGTGAATGTGCGATTTTAGTTTACGTTATGCACCATTTTAACTTTTTTTACAAGCACAGATTTTAATAATTTCGAACTTATGTCAACGGGAGACCCAAATTTATTTTCGTGTATGGATCTCATCTCCCAAGTTCAAACAGCGATATATTCACATAGTTAATGAAATTGTAAAAATTGAATAAGTTAGTTGTAGATTAGCTTACATTTGAAAATTAGTTTTTGTACAATTTAAACTAGTTTAGAGGTTTTAATTTCAGATTTTGGGTATATTGTATATCGGGCTCTATTTCGTGTTTCAAGTCTGCTATTATAGTTATCATTACTGGAGCAAACAGTGAGACAATATTTTAAGTAGATCAGAGCTTTAACAGTGTTGCTACAACATCTTATAAATGTGGCAACACTTTAGACTCCGTTCTTAATATAACAATAATAATATGTTAAAGCAAAAGTGATAACATTATAGCTTAGTATTTTGGCCTTTCACGCAGTTAGATTATTCATAAAATCTACCTTCAATTTAGTGTTCATTTAGATTTTAATTAATTTTGTTTTACGCTTGTGTTTTGTAATGGATGTTTGTTTAGCACTACACATGGTTACGTCAAACACAGGAACTGGGTTAAAAATGCTGTTTTTTTGCAGAATAATATTTGCAACTGGTAACACATTCATATACACTAAAAATCAGCATTTTTAGTTTTAGTTCGATGAACTAAACATTCAATGTATTGACAGTGACACTAACATTAGTCGTAAATAAGAACTGAATGCTAGCCTTAATATTATTTATGATAAGTGCTAAGTCAATAAAACACTCTTTTGAGTTAGAAAACTTTCTTGTTCTTTATTTTTCACCAACTTCAACTTATCACAGATCAATGAAATAAATATGTACTTATAGTTAAACTTAATTATTTCACAGTCTAAAAAACTAATTTTAACACAAAGTCATCTAAAGACCAAAACAAACATGACTAAACTAATTATATCTTGAAACTAGTGAGTCAAAACTCTGACAGGAAGAGAAAAATGTGCACATTAGAAAATGGTATAAGACCAGTATTACTTTGGAGTGTGTAGAAATTAAACAATAATTTCTTAATGCAAATTCAATTTGGTGGTAACTAAAACCCTCACATATTGATCATAAGCTGTTGCAACAGCTAACCCTAGGTGATCCCTATTCCAGTCCAGTGCATTTATTGGCTGAGAACTGATGACCATCCGTTGGAGTTGCTTTAATTTGCCAGGAACCCCTACAGCCACCCCTTCACCATCCACATGGAAACGCTGCTCTGGGTACTCGCTATAAAATTATTTAAAGGTCTGCTCATGTCAAGTTATTAAAAATTTGACTAATACAACATTATAAGATTAAGTTAATGATTATTAGTAATTATAAATGATATCAACTAAAATAAAAGGTATCTTTTAGTGAGGTTCACAATTCACACATAGTGGAGTAGGAAAAGCAAAAATGAGTTTTGCCAAAATCTAAGATATAAGAAAAGAAAAAGAAAAATCTTTATTTTTCTCCACAATCTTACATTGAAATTAACTAAATATTAAGAAACAGATATATTGTCGCAAGGAAACATTATAAGATTGTGAGAGACTGGTGACTGAACTAAGCAGGGCTTGTATCTCAGACCACCAGCCTCTCCCCACATGGTGTAAAAAGTAGCCAGTAACAAGAGTAAATTATTAATAAGGACATTTTACAGATGTAACATGGAGAAAAGAGGTACCTAATTAAAATATGTAGGTGTGCAATCGCGCCGATATAACATCCGTGCTAATTATTATATATATTATTATATATATATATATATTAGTACTTAGATAAATATATATATATTAGTACTTAGATAAATAGATAACAGTACATAAATAAGTATAAAAAATAAATAGTAAATCAAAAATAAGCTATAAATTGTAAGTTAGACCATTGGTTGGATTAAGTTTTCAGTCTCATCATAGTTGAGACCCTGTATGTAGGCAGTAACCTTCTTTTTACAACTGAAGGATAAGAGTAAGTGAATATTCAGCTTGCGAATTAGTTTGTTGTAAATAAAAGGGCCGAGGTAACAGTAGAAGCGGTGGGAAAAGGCAGTGTAGAGAGAAGGAAGGTGAACAGGGGGTGGGCGGCGAGCAGATCGGAGAGGAAGAAGGACTAGGTTTATGTTCGTGATGCTGTTTGAGGGCTGTGTTTAGGATGAACAGTTGACGTACTGTAAGCATCTGAGCTTCCTGATAGAGGGTGAAAGTAGGGAAAAGAATGGGTTTGAATAAGCAAACTTTTAGAAGAGCCCTCTGGGCACGTTCCAGGGACAGCAGATGGGTTTTGGCTGCACCACCCCAAGTGGTGATAGCATATAATAAAAACAGATTGACATAATGCTAAATACATCATTCTGACTATATGAGGCTCGGCAACATGACGAATTTTTCTTAAAGATAAACATGAGTTTGCGGACTCTACCACACATATTCATAAGATGGGCCTGAAACGTGAGTCGACTATCTAGTGTGATGCCAAGATACTTAACCGTACAACCTCTCTTCAATGTAGCGCAAGAGCATGGAACAGAAGGAACAGAAGAATGTGTATGGGCAGTTAAGGAATACGGGATTAAGGCTATGGGAGGAGTATATATGGAGAAGGTAAGATAGCAAGTTTTCTTAATTAAGAGTTAATAAATTTTGGCGCAGCCAACACGAAACGATATCAAATCCGGTCTGTGCATAAGAGAAAGCTTCCTCCAGCTTTTTGCAGAGAAAACAAGAGCAGTATCGTCGGCGTAAGAGACCAATTGCTATTAGGTATTTTCAGGGAACACAGATCATTCATGTACACTAGGAACAGCGTAGGACCAAGAATGCTGCCCTGGGGGACTCCGAATTCCACTGGAAGGTAAGAGCTGACATGGCCATCTACCACTACACATTGACTCCGACCGTGAGGTAACTTTTAAATAAGGAAAGTTGAACTCCTCTCACTCCAAGCGCTTCCAGTTTCTGTAGAAGGATTTGGGCCGAGACAGTGTCGAATGCCTTCGCGAGGTCTAAGAATATGCCCAGACACTTCCTATGGCTGTCCAAGTTCCTAACTATGTGATCGGTTAATTCATGGATGGCATCCGATGAAGATCTTTTAGCTCTGAAACCGAATTGATTCGGAGAAAGTAATTGTTTATCTTCCAGATAACTAACGAGACGTTTGTTTATTAGGGTTCAAGGATCTTGGACAGTGCTGACAGAATAGAGATGGGGCATAGTTGTCGACACTGCCACGGTTGCCGGATTTGAAAATGGGATGCACTATTGCCTTTTTAAAAGCGGATGGGAAGATTCCCGTACGCATACTTAAGTTACATACATGGCGATTGGTGTAGCTAATATTTTAAGGTTGCGTTTAAGTATGGCAGACGTGATGTTGTCCCAACCTGCAGCACAGCTTTCTTTCAAGGAATTTTAGTGATTTCGACTTCTTCAATAGAAGTGTCGAGCATGACTAATGATTGGAGAGGAAAAGGAGGATTTGGTCGTAATGGAGGTGGAGAGTCGTGTTGATGATTGTTGTATATTTAGGCAAGCGCTTTTCCGATACCCACAAAGTGAGAGTTAACATGGTTGTTGAGTCTTTTGGAATCGCTCTACATTTTAGGAGGTCACTTGGTCTATCATGTTTTTTATTAAGATTACTAACGTCTTTTATAGCTGTCCAAAGTTTTTTGGTGTTAGTTCCTGCATTTAGTAGTAGACCTTTTTCATAATTCTTTTTAATTTCTTCAGTAGACTATTACAGAAGTTCCGGTATCTGTAGTTGTTTTGCGCAGAATATCATTTTCAGGTTGCTTTTTTAGTTTGTAATGCATTCTATCTCTATTACGTATACATTTAAGTAAGCCTGGGGTCATCCATGGCTTGATGATTTTAGTGCGGTAGAGCGAGTCATGACGAGGTGTGATAGAGATAACTGATTGAAGAATTTCTATCAAATTGTTGGTTGCTTCTTCACAGTCAGTGTTATTGGAACAGAGAAAAATCTGTATTCAGGAGAGACTGTGAGAGGCTATCATGATCCACTTTTTTGATAGGGTAGGAGCAGAGTAGCGATTCTTTATATCTAAGGACATTACTACTGAACTATGATCAGTGATTGAAGAATTGATGACAAGAGTAAGAGCAGTAAGAGGTGATTTAAGAATACCGTGATCAAGACACGTAGAAGAAGGAAAACGAGTAGGAAGGTATGAGTTGGGAGAAGCCCATGGAAAACCAACATGTTAGATAATCTTCAGCTTCTTGGTTAAGATTCTCTGGAGTAATATCAATATTTATGTCACCTAAGATTATTATATTTTTGAAACTTTTAAGAGATTCTAGCAAGGTATTTAGAGAGTTAATAAAGTTCGTTTTATTTTTGAAAGCACTTGGTCGATAAATACCTAAAATTGCAGTATCAATATTAAGTTTAATTAAGAGAACGCTGGCTTCTGCTACAGAGGGTTCTTCAATTGAGAGCCTGTAATACAATTTTTATAGTACCAGGACTCCGTCATTTTTATTAACTGGGTTACAGGAAGAGATGCTGGAGAAACCTTTTATGGTTGGTATTACCGGGTTGCTTTCTAGAAAACATTCAGTGAGAATGATAATATCCGGGATAGTATGAAAATTTGTAAGTAAAATTTCAAAGTTCGCGAAATTTGCCGATAAGCTCCGAATATTTTGCGTTATAATATTTAGGACTTTATTATGTTTAGGTAAATAGTTTCGGACTTCATGTGGATCACAGCAATGGCTTGAAGCAACCGATAGATTATCGATGTTGTTTAATAATTGTCTATTATTACGATCGAATTTTTGAAGCCTTGAGTAACTAAAAGTAACCAATTTGCTAGCACAATACAGTTATTAAATGGGAATAGCAGTGTAAGGTCAATGAGTGCAAGATAGGCTTACTAAACTTAAGGATATATGCACGCATTGGAATTAGAGTACAATTTAAATAGTAAATCAGTGAGATAGTCATAGATTATGTATAAGAGAAAAGTGTCTACAATATTTGTGTGTGAATAAAGAGGTATGAAATTAATTACGTGAGTAACAACTCTAGAATAATATTTGAAAATTGAGCCTAAGGAACCAAATACTATCAGAAATGCTAAATTATATAGGTATATTATATGAGGAAATATAAAATATAATATAATACATATGTAAAGGAGCGTCGGCACTATAGCACAAAGTTACAAACAATGATCTTACCTAGTACTAATATCATAGTAATTAAAAAACTAAATCTAATCATAAACAAAAGACGGAAATACGTCGAAGGATCTAGTTTTTTGGCTGGGGGCCAACCAGCTGACTTTCATTAGTAACAACAATGAGTTTGGTGTGGTCTGCCTGCCTCAGCAGACTCGGCCTCCGGAAGTCCAGCAATACTTATATTTTTCCGTCTTGGCGTATTCTCGAGCTAGATAGTATAGGCGGCGTGCCTGTGGCGTCAGATGCTCGGCGAAGTAAATCGGATGTTGCGGACCACCGACGATGGTGGAGTTGAGTTTGTTACGCCTCTGTTATGTTCTTTGAAAGCCTTCAGAATTCTTCCCTCGTAATAACTGAATTCAGGGTGCATACCAGAGTGATACTATCAGACTTTGACGGGACGCGGCGGATATCAAATATCTCAGACAACGAGACTTCCACCGATATCTCCTTGAAAAGCCGAGTGACAACAGATATCTGCTCATCCTGAGACAGAGTTCTGTTTGCCAGCCGGATGTTACGAATTTCAGGAGCTCAGCCTAGAACGACGGTCCATATCCTCTGTTGTGTCTTCAACCTTAGATACAGCTCGAGGAAAGATTGTGTTTGTTTTTGATGTGAACTCAATTGTAACAGCAAGCATCATCTTTTGGACAAAAATTCTAAGATTTTTCTGTTTCACTCTGCGAAGCCAGAATTTCTGTGTTTTGTCGCACAATCTGCACGTACGTTTTTATTTCTGACAATTTCTCATCAGTTTCCTGTCGCCACATATTAATCGTGTTTAAGAATTTATCGATTTTTGACTCTTCCGAAGCTCCACCAATTCGCACGCCTACGCTTAGAACGTTGAGTAATGTTGTCATCAATAGTGCTAGTATCACTTAAGTTTAAGTTTGGAGCGGAGCCATACTGTACATCTTGTTTACATGGACTTCTAATCATTTTGTGATCGCAACAGAAGAAGCTATCCGGTCAATGCAAAAATATATAAAAGGCGACAACACTTAAAGTGATGTGCGATTTACTAATAATCTTATGGTATAATTAGTAAATCACTATTGGGCCCTGTACTAGCCACGCCTCCTTTAACTTGCTCGTACGCAGGTGGGCTTACTGCTAATTAGCCACTCGATTGCGGGATGCGTAACGACGAGATGCGCCAAATATAATTATCTCACTCACTCTTATGCTGCGTTACTTGAGTGGCCTCCGAGCTTGGTGGGAGAGCCGTAGTCACCTCGAGTACACGAAGCTTGTCTTGAGTATCCTCGGGAGTTATGTGCGCTAGTACTCGAATCACTTATTTTTGAATATATTAAATTTAAAAATATTTTTAAAATAATTTTATAAGGTGCGTAAAACACGTCTAGTCAGCCAGACATCAAGGGGAAGGAAGTCACATATAGTGAGCTTATTTAATTATATCATATTAAACTTACTATTTCCATAGAGATGCTTGTCCATTTCCTGCACAAGTTACAAATATATCGCGATTTTGTGGCAAATGTCGTGATACCCACACTGTACCACTCTTTGTTGAGTTATCAAGTACCTAAAATCATAAATTTAAAATATAATAATAACAGCACTTTTTCTTAGGTTGAGAGATAAGATTGTATTAAACATAAACTTAAAGAAAATACTTTCCAGATTAATAGTTATGTCAATTTTACAATGATTTTCAGCATGTTACAATTTTACAATTTAAAGTCGAGTCGAGGTCAAAATTTTTAGACACATAAATTATTTTAGTTTTACCTGTGCAAATCCTTTTGTAGGATTCTGAGTTCTTAAATCAAACACATGAAACTTGCCCTCTAGTGTAGTTGCAACTAATTTATTCATAGGTATGTCTTTTCTATCAAATTCCACATAACAAACCTAAAATATAAGTAATATTACATATAAAATGTAATTGCTCTAATAATTAGTTGAAACATTTTATATACAAACCCCATTCCTCAAGTTGCATTCCCATCTTAAAGACATGGTTCGGAGGTCAAACATTTTAAGATCACCATTATCATAGCCAGCTACTACAATTCTTTCAGCATCATTGAAGGAGTTACCAAAAGCTACAGCCCAACAGTCTCTCTTAGTTTCTCCTTTCATTGGCTGCATGTTTGCAACTGGTTTTCCCCTTTGGCGAGGATCCCAGACTTTTACTGTACCTAATAAAAAAAAGATTAGGTAATTAAACTATACAAGTGTAACTTTTTTAAAAATGTACAGATATACCATCTCGACTTCCAGTGACTATTTCTGGTGCACCACAATTCATAGTATTGCCACCCATACCATCAATGGAATTAATAATATCTGAATGCTCTTTAGTTATATAAACTTGGCAAGTTTTTTCCAAGTCCCTAAAAATATACAAGGAATATGGTATAATAAGTACATTATCAAAGGAGCATGGTATGAAATACAAAAATAAATAAAGTACCTACCATATTTCCAAAGTTCCTTTAAAATCGCCTGTAGCAAGTCTCCTCTCAATGTCACTACTAGCTCCAAATGTTCCACATTTGTATGAATTAGGACGCTCTATATCTTTGATCTTATTCACTTCACCGGATGTTATTTCAAATATTTCTATAGTTCCGCTTCCATTGGGCAGACATCCGATTACAACAAATTTGGCTGAACAAGGAATCCACTTACAGTCAAAAATTGAGTGATTAAGATTATGTTCTATATGAGTTATGATCTGAGGAGTATCTTGATGTTCCATTTTATATTCTCCAACTGTTCGTTATTACGTTTTGTGAAATAATAGGGCTTAACCTGAAAGCTCTTTTGATAATCAAAATTTGATCGAAAATCGAAATAAACAACAACCAATAAGAACATTGTTGCTATGGAAACTAGGATTTATTTACAAACTAGATAGACTATATCGGTCTATACGTCAGTACACTATGATTTATAACATCAGTATATTTTTTATAAATTCGTAAAGATTTTATTATTTTGATTTTTCTAAATCTTACCCTGAGTTCGAGACTCAAAATTGGAATCTGTTATCTAAATTCTAAGGTTACCATTTAAGTATAATATCTGTTATTCTATTAATCTAAATACTAAGATGACAATTGACAGTGTTTCTGTCTATAAGAGTGTGTCAATGTTAGTAACAATTGACATTGACAACCAACAACAATTTCATCAATTTGTATTTTGTAGAATGTGAATAATAATTTTCCAAATTGAAATAATTATTTGATATTCAATAATTTATGCGTTATCCATACAGGACCCATACTGTTAAAAAAGTGGATGAATGCTGTTACGATTGTAATTATTGTTAGTAGATAAACAGTGTTCATTGTACATTTTTACAATGAGTATGAAGAAATATAAACAAAGTGTAAGCATTATTTTAAAAGTTTATTTTTCTTGGCGTAAGTTACTAATACAGCAAAATTTGAATAATTTTATTCTAATTTCAGAAAGCAGATATTGCGAAACAATTTGACTTACCTGAGCGCCAGTCGAAGATTACCAGTTTATTAAATCAAGCTGGGCAAGCATATTGTATATGTCGTTCTTCGGACAGCTCGAGATTTATGATGTAAGTAAAAACCAACAATTGTTCGTGGATTTATTTATTATATATATTTACCAAATAAGTATTAAGGGAACTTTCATCACAAACCCATTGAAAGATGTGTAAACATAAACAAGACTTCAAGAGTAAAAACATGAAAATATCATACTCAAAACAAAAATAACTTGAACCTTATTTAGGTGAGGTGAGATTAAATATGTTTGTTAATTTTTGTAAATAAACTATTAATTTTGTAATTTTTAGAGCATGTGATGCCTGTGAGGAATGGTATCATGGAGATTGTATTAATATATCTGAAAAAGAAGCTAAATACATCAAGAACTATTTTTGTGATCGGTGTCGAGAGGAGGATCCAAGCCTTAAAACTAAATTCAGACCACAGAAAAGAGAAAATGATGGAGATTCAGGTAAAATGTGGAGAATATTGAAATAAACACTGAAAAACCTGGAAGTCTAGCTCAGACCTTATCTTTGGATTGTCACATTAAAGATTCTTAGATGATTCTTTATTTTTGCATAGTGTAAATATGATGATATCTCTATCATCTTTACTCCATTGTTTTCAATCTCAAAAATCTTTTCTTTGAAAAAAAAATTGAAGATTATGGGTCATTACTGCTTTATTATGTTTTTCTTTTCACATATGATTTTTCTTTTTTCCCTCTATTTTGGTAAGTTTATACATTATAAGTTGTCTTATTAATATTAGGATTTCATTGATTTAATTTTTTTTTGTGTTATTACTATTATATTTTTTTGGATTATATATTAAGTTTTGCACTCTTGCAGTTTTTCAAAATATTTTTTAATTCTTTGTTTTGATTAAGATTAGATATTGGGTGAGATAAGGTTGCTTGGAACAGATACCTTCGTAGCAACAGAAACACTTGTAGCACCAAGTTTATTGTTAACATTATGTAAATTTTTATTTAATTCTTGTACAGAAATGTTAAAATTTTCTATCAAAATATTTTTTAAATATGAATGCTTATAGGTCGAGATGAGGGTAGAAAGAAGAAAAAAGAAAAAGAGTATTCCGAAAATAAAACTTCTAAAAGACCAGCAAAAGATGGCTGTGGAGACTGCCCTGGATGCTTACAGCTAAATGATTGTGGACAGTAAGTTTCAGAAACACCTGAATGTGTCATGTAATTGTAGAGACATTCTATTTTTGCTCCATTAACAACTTTGTATATATGTGTACATAATATATTCTTAGTATTAAGTATATGGTGTTGTATCTGATGAAACATTGCCTGATGCATTAAATGCCAAAACAACTTTCCTATAGTCATTATAAATATAGTCAATTCAGATGTGTTCTCAAAACTTAACTTACAGCTCTTAATAATGCTTTAAACACATTTTTGCAATTGCACCAATTTGAAACATTTTTGTATAAGTAAATCGGCTAATTTAGCTTTTGTTCTATTAGTTCTAGTAGAATTATGTTTTAATTTTGTTCAAAATATTTTCAGTTGTGATGCATGTGAAGATATGTACAAATATGGTGGTAGCAACAAGCTGAAGCTCAAATGTCGAAAGAGGCAGTGTGTTAAGACTAAGAAAAGCTCCCGAGTTTCTAGGTAAAGGTTATTTAAATAAAAAATAAATAAATCAGTGGCGCTACAACCTCTAGGTCTGGGTCTCAGATTTGTTTCATGATCATTTTTCAATCTAATAGGCAAGTAGGTGATCAACCTGCCTGACACACGCCGTCAACTTTTTGGGTCTAAGACATGTCGGTTTCCTCACGATGTTTTCCTTCACCGTTCGAGCGAATGTTAAATACGCACATAGAAAGTCCATTGGTGCACAGCCGGGTATTGAACCTACGACCTCAGGGATGAGAGTAGCACGCTGAAGCCACTGGGCCAACACTGCTCTATTTTTATTTAAATATCGACTATCAACATATACAAATCAACAAATCGAGTTATTTTTATGTTTATCAGTTAATAGTTAATAGTGACGTTACATGGTACATTCTTTGTAATGCAGCAGTAACCGTATAAAAAAGAAACATCACGAACGCGAAGTGTATGAGCCGGAGGAGTCCATTGCTCATCTCCATACATCTGAGCCTCGGCACTGCTATGGCCCTCAATGTACAAGAGCTGCTCAATATGGTTCAAAGTACTGTTCACCTCAATGTGGTATGCGTCTGGCTACAGCAAGGATATATCAGGTATTTTCATTGACAACATAATTTTAGACAATTAGAAATTATCATTTATTGTAATATATGAAGAAATTCAATGCTTCTGAATTTACAATTTCTGAACAACGGACGAGACCTGACAATAACTCCCCGCCAGTCTCTTTATTCAGCAAGTTTTTGTTTGTTTGGCAATTACACCATGATCTATGGTGTATTTCACCATGGGAACAAAGTCGTAAAATCAAACCCTATTTTTTTTAAGGAAAAATAAAATAAGGTTATTCTATTAATACTAGGATACTAAGTACATTACATATACAAATATATGAATGTTTTTGACCATTTAAACATTGTTTTTCATTTAGTGTAAATAGTTTTAAAAAAAAGGGTGCGTGTACGCGCGGAAGAAGTTATACTTCTTTGGCATTATTAAAAATAGTTTTTGATTGCATGCAAATAATTAATTACAATTAAATAATCAAAGACTGGAAAAGGAGCCATTATAGTCAAAAAAGTTCAGTTTACATTTGAAAAATTAAATAAATAAATATTTATTATTATTCTCTTACATTAAATGTAACATAAATTCTATTATTATTCGAATGTGGTTTTTAAATTGTGACCAATGCCGTAGCATCTTCCGTGGGCACCTTCATTCTGTTAATTTTGTGTCACGCTGCGCGCGCATCGTAAAATTTCACTCTCATCAATTTTTCATAACGCGCCTAAAGAAGTATAACTTCAATAACTAAATTTACATTACACATATTTATCTAGTTAGACTAGAAAAAGCGTTTTACGATTACTTCACTGTTTAAACATAAATACAGACGACACAGTAACCACACGTTACGACGGTAATTTTAAAGAATGTCTAGAACGTAATATTTTATTACCACCTTCACTTGTTTTTAAACTGTCGCATTAACTTTTATTTGGTAGAATTACAATTTAAACTAAAAATATTCACTGTTGTTGCTCTCTATTTCAAGAGTACATGAGAACGAGTATTACTAACATTGTACACAAAATAATTTCTGTAGAATAAGACATCCTCGTTTTTTTTACTATAAAATGTTTTGCAAACAATCTGAAAAAAATTACAGCTGTACATCACCCAAGGAAGTGTAAAATGAGAAACATTAAAAAAATATTAAATTTAAATTATTCATTATTTACTCAAATAACATTTTGTAGGTGCTTCCTCAACGCATACAAGAATGGTCTCTATCGAGCTGTGTCGCTGAACAGCACAATCGTAAAGCGCTTGAAGTGGTCCGAAGCGGGTTGGCTAAAGCGCAAGCAGCGCTTAGAGCGTTGGACAAGCAACATACTGAATTGGATACTTTGCTAGAAAGGGCTAAACACGCTACTATACAGCATAGTGATGAAAAGGTTAGGTGTTGTACAAATACATACGGCAGACATATTTTTGCTGAGTGGATTTGATCAGAGCAGTTCAGATCAGGCTTTAGCGTGCGATTCTCACCTCAGTTCGTAGTTACCAATGGACTTTCTTTCTATGTGCGCATTTAACATTCACTCGAACGGTGAAGGTAAACATCGTGAGGAAACCGACATGTCTTAGACCCAAAATGTTAACGTGTGTTAGGCACACGACGCTGATCACCTACTTGCCTAGATCGTGAAACAGATACATAAATCTGAGGCCAAGACCTAAAAAAGTAAATATAAATTAGAAGCATTTAATGTATATTTCTTTTTTGACGTAATTAGTGTACATTGTGTTGCCTATGTGAATAAATGATTTTTGACTTTTAAAAAGGTTGTAGCGCCACTGATTTTTTTTGTGGATTTGATCAGCCTTCTACACCCACCATCGCAAACAATTATTTTTTTCCGAGAATCGAACCCGAACTATTACGTACGTTTATTAATATGTGTAATGCAATATTTAAAAGAATATTTTTAAACATGACAAAAATCTGACAGTTAAAAAATCTTCCTTTCCTTTTTTTATTTCATCTTTGGCTATATCTTTAGTATAATTGTTTTTTTATTATGTTTAATATATTATTTTAGCAGTAGGATTACGAAATAAATAAAATTAATTTAAAATATTATTAAATCATTTTAAATTCACATTAAATAAATAGTTTAATTTTAATGTTTTTGTAGGAACTAGACGATGAAACATCGATGTACTGTGTGACCTGTGGTCACGAAATACATTCCCCGTACAGCGGTCAAACATATGGAGAAGTGCTTCGTCAAATATGAGGCGCAAGCGTCGTTCGGAAGTCGCCACCGCACCAGGATTGATGGCCAGAGCATGTTCTGTGATTATTACAATGCTTCTAACGGGACTTACTGTAAGCGGCTACGGGTAAGTTTTATGTTTACTTTAAGCAAAAAACTTAGTTATAGAGGTTAATTTCAAAATAGTAGGTACATAAACCAAAAGTAAAAAGTGTGTGTGTGTCAGCTCCGACGCACGAGTGGAGTTTACTCCTTAAGTACGATTGTCTAAACAAACGCAAAAAGAGTTTATTTAACTGAAAAAAGATTAATACCATATGAAAGGGTAAATTTTAGACGTTTTAGACGTTTCGCAAAATTAAACCTTGATGTACTTAAGGTACAATTCCACATGCATCTGAGGAAAGAGACAAATGAATTAAAACCGTAACTGTATAGCACGAAGGTTCACAATCCTTTAAAATATAGGTGCGTACCAAAAACGTAACGAGGTCATTCATCAGTAGATTTTACTCCTCACATTTTCTCATATTTTTCTCATACCGGGTGCCTTATATATGAAAATCGATTCTTAAGCAGTAAACTCCAATAAAGCAATGTTTCATGTTTGTTGGTAAGTTTTATGTAATTTTTAACTTCAATAAAGGTGCGCTTACACGGGCAACTAAAATTGCTCAATTCCAGTCAATACTCGTCAACTATGACGTCACGACTACATCAAGCAATTTACGGCAACGGCAACAAGCATCAATACTGCGCAATACAATATTGAGCGATATGGCGCAACTTCATCAACTAGGCAATACTGTCTTACACAAGCAATTCAGTATTCGCTCGCTATGGACGACATTGTTCTTGCTGCGGCGGCTTGTGGCGCTTTTTCATTATTAATCGAAAACAAAAAAGATAGAAAAGGAATAGGCGTATCTGGGTGCGATCGTTTTTGGCCGCAATTTTCATTGTGTAAATAATTAGATGATATATTATTCAAAAACTTTACTAGAATGTCACGAACAGACTTTGAATTACTTTTGAATAAAGTAATTAAATTATTTAGACCTCTCGCTCTCCCCGCGGAAGCAAGACGGCAAGCCGCAAAACAAAAAAGTACGAATGAGTTATATATATATACAAAAATTGCTAGGAATTTCCAAGTCCATTGGATATTCGTCAATTCGTTTCTGCGACATTGAGCTATATGAAATATCTGGAGCAATTGGAAGCAATATCGCTGAAATAATTTATTGAAATTTATTAAATTTATTGAAATTGCTCCATTAATTGCTCCAGATCGTTCCATTCGTGTCGCCGAGCAATTATTGCCCTCGTGTAAGCGCACCTTAACACACTATGTTACTCCACTAAATATATTTCTAGGCGTTTTTATATGTAATGATCGATAAATTTATTTATTTTTTGAATGAGGTAGTTTTTTGTGAATGAGGGCAATCTAATGATGAACGAATTTTTTAAATAGGTCCATTAAATGTTGAATTAATTCGTTACAAACAAACTTTTGCTCTCTGTAATATAAGTGAAGAGCCGCGAGTTGCCCTCCTTTTATTTAATTATTAATTGTTCTATATTTCTGTATACATGCAACAAAGTATTAATAAATACAAACAACAAATTTTTGGCTTGTGGTTGTCATACGATTCATGAGATGACTGAATTTATATTAAACTAGCAGACTCGCCCAAGCGTTGCTGTGGCAAAGATTTTTGATATATTACATAGTAGTAAGCTATTCATGGGAAACGGCAGGAGAACACCAGTAACCATGCTGTTTTGGTGGTTATGTCATTAAGTTGTAGCTTATTTGAAACGTTGGTACTTTCAACACAGCGCCATCTGTTAGAATTGTGACTATCAAATAATAAACAAATATTTTGCAATAAATATATTGCGGGTATAAATTGAGATGTAAGCTATCCTATCTTTTAAGTTGGATCAAACTACACACGGTGTGCAAATTTGATTGATATCGGTTCAGTAGTTTAGGAGTCCATAGCGGACAAACAACGTGACACGTAATTTATATATATTAAGATATAAATTATATTCCAGGTTATGTGTCCAGAACACTTCAAAGACCCCAAAGTGATCGATACAGATGTGTGTGGATGTCCCCTGGTTAAGAACGTGTTTGACCCCACAGGGGAGTTCTGTAGGGCTCCAAAGAAGTCCTGTCTCAGGCATTATCAGTGGGAGAAACTGCGGAGGGCCGAAATTGATATGGAGAGAGTCCGACAGTGGTTGAGATTGGATGAACTGGTAGAACAGGAGAGGAGCATTCGACTGGCTATGGCCTCTAGGTAAGTTTAGCATGCTTTTAAAAGTACATACAATATTTTTAATAATAATTTTTCTATAATAAGTTAAATTTTGCTTTAATAAAAATCTTTTAAGCAATTCCCTTAGGGAGCGTTCAAGTATTACGTCACGCAATTTTTGGAGATTATTAACCCCCCTCCCCTATGTTACGCGCCGTAACGTTTTTCTGTACCCAATAGTAAAACGTTTCGTGACCACCAAAGTGACTCTTTATACCTAAAAGTTACCATTATATGACGTAAAGTACTGGAAAGTCGAAAATAATATAACAATAACGCGTAATTCAATTCCCGCCCCGCATCGTAACGTTTTACAAAAGGACCCCTCCAAAATTCGTTACGTAATACTTGAACGCTCCCATACAGTTAAAATTTTAGTTTTTTTTTTAATTGTAGCAGTTGTTATCGGTATTTTAATTTATTATTCAGGCATAAATATGTAAATTTCTTAATAAAATATCTAATAAAAGTATTTTTGAATTTACATGACGTAATTAAAACATTTAATCAAAAACATAAAAAGAACAACGACAATTGTTCTGCAGTTTTGTACAATTTTGTAATGAATCTTATACCATATTTTAGAGCTGGTGTCTTAGGGCTAATGCTGCATTCGACATACAACCACGAAATGGTGGAACGTATCACAAAGGCCAACGAAAATGGAAAACTGAAGGAAACCTCCTGACATCGGCGTACAATTAACGTGGAAATTTGAATTTGTATTTGTCAAGTGAATAAAAACGTCAACTTTATAAAATGTGTTGTCATTTATAATAAATAATTGTTTATATATAAATTTATGTTTGTTTTATTTCCGGAAAGTCAAATATAACCTAATCTATTACAGCTAATTATTATAACTAAAGCAGTGTTGGCCTAGTGGTTTTAGTCAGAGGGCGACTCTCACGCCTCAGGTCGGACGTTCGAATGCCGGCTGTGCAAATGGTATTTCGATCTATATAAGTGTGTTACACTCGCTCGTACGGCGAAGGAAAACATCGTCAGGAAACTGGCTTGCTTTTAGACGTAAAATGTTGATGGCGTGTGTCAGGCTCAGAATCGAAAAGATCGTCTTGTCTCTTAAGAAAAATAATTGACCACGAAACGGATACAGATATCTGAGGCCCAGACCTAGACAGTTGTATTATTAAATTATTATAACTTAAGTATGTATTTATTTTCTATCGTGATTATTTTGTACCGTTGTACTAACAAAAAAACGGGCACCCAAGGAAATTGACGTTCTTAGGTCGATTAATGAAATTAAATTGTCTGACGACTGTTTACGTTTAGTGAAAATTAATGCGCGTGCAGTGAATTCTGGCAAAACAGTAAAAGTGGTCGGCAATGAAGACGAGAAGATTTTTTACTTTTTAAAATTAAAACCTAATAACGAGTCTGACCTCCTTTTGCCAAAATCACATCTTGAATCCTTCTGCACATGCTTTCCATGATGTTTCAAACGTTACGAGGAATAATTACCTACTTTTTTTAGCTGCCTGGTGTTTTTTGGAACAGGTTGCACTGATTTTACTCATTAGAACATCTCAGATATGCTCAATTGGATTGAGGTCAGGATTTCAGGACGGATCCCAACTTCTTGCATGTACGCCTCCACGTCGCTAGAACGGTCCGGGCGAGCATTGTCTTCCATAAAAATGGAATCAAAAATAATAAGTCCGGCCCATAAGTATAATACGAGTAGGCCTAGACATAACATTTATTACCAACAAAAACACACACAAAATAACAATAATCAAAGAAAAAAAATGAAGTAAAATATCTAATGAGAGATATAAAAAAGATTTTTTCTTTTTCCCATTCGGTTCGTTTCAAGTGTGTAATGCGTGTGTGCTGTGGCTGTAAAAAATTTTGGGCGAATTAAATTGATTTTTGTTGAGTAAGTAGATGTATCTTATAGCTGCGACTAAAGTATATTGAGTCCCATTGCTCAGCCTGACCATGCAGAATATTTAAGGCAAATATGCACGTTTAATAGTAAAGTTTGAACTATATAAGAATATACAATATCTATTATAAAAATATCCAAGCAACAATGGGGTGTGCAAGCGTAAGTTATCGCATTAACTTTGATTCAATCAAATTCGTATTATCATATGTTCTTTGAATTGATATTTTAGGGTGTCAAAGAATTACTGTAGTTTACTTATTGCGATAAATTCTGGGTTTTATTCCCTGAAAACCTTTCCAAAATGAAATAGGATGAAGAAGAAAAAAGTATAGTAAGTAGTAGTAAGTTGAATTAATGGTCCTGCGACAAAAATCATCTCTGCGCTGAATTCACATTTTAAAATATTTATTAGAGGATTATCAGTTACTCGCCGACTACGATTGTTTAAAAAATGTAACAAATTCACCTTTATATCTGAATGGTATGGCTTGTTGTTAAAAACGAATTTTATTAATTTTAACAATTTCCTGATTTGACTTAATTTACCACTTGAAATATTGAGAGTTGATGCTTTATATGATGTAAACATCTAAAAAGGAATATTTTTTTGTATCTAAGGGGCATTGGTCATTGCCAACGTTCTAGAATTTAATAGTACCCTACTAAGTAGGTAATTTAAACAAAAATCTGGGTTGAATTTTGTAACTAACATTTAAAATTCGCTCGTCGTTCTAAAACAATTAGATAACAATGCATTTCTTCTATTTATCATATCAAAACATATTTAGCCCACCCTCGAGGGACACGTGCGGTTGCACCCCTCTAATATTTCTTCCCCAATTAATTGAAGCGCGTAATTCGGTTGACATGTTTTGCTAAATCTCATAATTTGATACAGATTATACGCTCTATTTTATATTAAAAGTCAAATAGCCTTAAATGTAAGTTCTTTTTAAGTATAGTTGTGTAGTTTTAAAATTAAATGGCGAAATGTCGGTGTCGAGCAGTAGTAGGTAATGTGATAATCGTATAAATTTGAATTGAAGAAATTGTCTTAAAAATAGCCTAGATGGTACATTCATTTTACTATACTTCTACACAGAAAAATACTGTCAATAAACTACACCAATATCATCTGTGAATCTTTCATCTCAATAATGCAGTTTTTCTAACTGGCACACTCTAAAACGTCTATCGATAAAATCCAAAGTCAATTACTTAAAATTAAATCAAGTTGCCTAAGACTGTAAAAGGCTAAAGGATCTAATAGGAGTTCAATTACACTATTATAACTTTTAATTTATTACACTATTATAACTTTTAATTAGTTAATTCGTCTAGTATGTGAATCACAATCACACGCACAGTTTTATTATATTTTGTTACAAATAAACAAATATCCGATAAGTCCCCAATATATTTATCTATATTATATACTAATGGCAACTTAAGTTATATAGAAGTGAAGTATTTATTGACTGTTATTATGTAACATTGAGCAGTGTTGGCCTAGTGGCTTCAGCGTGCGACTCTCATCCCTGAGGTCGTAGGTTCGATCCCCGGCTGTGCACCAATGGACCTTCTTTCTATGTGCGCATTTAACATTCGCTCGAACGGTAAGGAAAACATCGTGAGGAAACCGACATGTCTTAGACCCAAAAAGTCGACAGCGTGTGTCAGGCACAGGAGGCTGATCACCTACTTGCCTATCAGATTGAAAATGATTAATTAATTAGCGCCACTGATTTATTTTATTATATAACATTACTTATTCACACACACCCGAACGCACACACACATGTAGATATTTATTGCCATACAAGTAATTTGTTATTACTAAAAAGGGACACATTGTATATGTTTCTAGTTTCTAGATGGTATAAAATAAGCAATTATGTTTTTTTTTTAATATTAAACTCACACACCCTAGAGACGCGCGTAAAACCGCGTATCACAACTAGTATTAACAGAACTATAGGGTATAATCGCTAAACACCCTCGCGGATCGGATTTACTCCACTTGCACTAATTTTGTGTCAAAAAGTGACAAATATCCCTAATAAGCTGAATCCGTGTCAAATCCGCCATCTGCCGACACCCCTGGTCACGCCTTTGATTTTGATGCGATTGAGCAATCAATATTTTTTTAGTTACGACATAGTAACTACTGTTTACCTCTGTTCATGTGTGGTTCGAGTCCTAATGAAACTGTTTTTGTTTTATAGGACTGGTAATCCCTACAGCAAACTAATACTGGAGTGTCACGAAGCATTGGAGGCCATAACTCTAACAAATAGGATTACCTTGCAGTGGATAAAGGGCACAGTGGTTCTCTCGCCAATGATGCTGCCGACGAGCTTGCGAGAAGAGGTTCTGGAATGATGTCTGCTGGCCCGTATCCGCTCCTCCCTTGACCTTCTAGTGCGAACCTGGATTCGCCAGAAATCCGCTGAACTGCAACATCAGCGATGGTCGCGAAGTGCGGACTGCCAACAGTCCAACTGCCAACAGTGAACCCGCAACTGACAAAGCGACTTCTAAGCTTAAATAGAACCAATCTCAAAACAATGATAGGGACAATTACGGGCCATTGTCTCCTTAATAAACATCTTTAGGTCGTTGGCGCGCCAGACAGCCCCTTGTGCAGAGGCTGTTTCAGCGCAGAGGAATCAGTCACCCACGTAGTCCTGCAATGCGAGGCTTTGGGTAAACAACGTGCAGCAACCCTCGGAGCATTGAGGTCGCTCCGTGAAGACTTCTGCGCTTCTGGTAGGAGCTGGGCTGACTAAATCAGCCAGGACTTTACGCGCAACGGACCAATTCTGAGTCTAAGTGCGGAAACTGAGTCCACCAACCTATAACCTCTAATAAAGAAAACTGAACAGTGAAATCTGTCTCATACCAGAACAGGATATTATGTAGTATATTTAGTATTATTTTCTCTATAGTAGGTTCCCAAGTATGATATGAGGAAGACTTTTTTTAAAACAAAAAAGTTGGCGATAAAAAAGAGTGGTGGACAGTTTATTGCCAGGCCAGTTCTCTCTTCCGTTCTACGCCCTTGATTTGAGAACTGGTAGTAAATGTAAAATTAGAAGCATTTAATGTATATTTCTTTTTTTGACGTTCATAAGTGTACATTGTGTTACCTATATGAATAAATGATTTTTGACTTTATTTGAATCCGGTTTTTATTTTATTTAAATCTTTAACTTCATGCTATTTTCCAGATAGATATAATATTCTCACTGTGTAATTCAACTATGTAAAATTGTTGTTAATATATTACGTATAAAATTTTCGAAGGCACCAATAAAACTGCGATTAATTTGATAGTTCTTAATTGCAGAGGAAAAACTGCAGATTCTTTTAATTCTTTAGGAAAACTTTAGAATGATTATTGAATATGTCGTATGCCGTAGGCCATAATATTAGGTAATCTTTTTATTACGTAGATATACTATTGGAGATATAAACGTTATATATAGTCAAAACATTACTATTTATTTATTGATTATTATTAAATATAAACTATAGAAGATACATTATTGTCGTGAAATAAAAAACGGTAAATTGTCTTATCAGAATTTTCCGTCTGTAATAACTATAAAAATATTTTCTAGGCTAAAACAATTTTCTAGCATTTTTCTCTCACGCAACAGTTTTAAATCTTTAAAATTATTAACATTAAAATGCGAATTATAATGATAATAAAAAAAACTGGTTGTTACAAAATTGATCTGACGCTAATTGCCATTAGGGTAGAGTCTACCAATATGTTCCTATCTACAACTAAATTATGTACTCACTGTAAAAAATATTAATTTACAGAAAGGATTCCAAATTTAAAACTATGACACTTTAAATTCACACATAAAAATATTTCTACCTTAAAATTACGAGGAAAATCTCTTAGAGACATCAATACAAGCCACGCCTCTTGCACCGGCTGTGACCAATAAGGGCAAATCACCCCCTAACCACCCCATTTTCCACAAATCGCAGTCCCGAAACCTGGCGCTAGAATGCCGAGGGAATCGATTGCTCAATACAAATTCGACCTATTCTCCAGAGGATAGGCTTGAGATTCCCTTGCTAAATTATATTTAGAACAATATTTCGTTATGGCAAGTATTAATTTTGATTTAGTTTCTGCCTGTGCTTTGTGCAAACTGGTTTAAGTCGTGTCCTGGCGTTGGTCAGACAGTTTTTGTTGGACAGTGTGAAAACCAGGTCTCAAAATTCATTTCCCGCTGATGTCCTACGGCAGTGAGACGCCGCACATTTGGAGTAGCTCGTCTGTAAGTTTTCTTGATTGTTCAACTTAGCTAAATAGCTGGTATCATAAAACCGGTGTAAAACAAATGAATGCTTGTGTAGTTACTGTTTTTTTTTAATTTTAGCCTTTAGAAAATAAATGTTTTTAGTTAAATTCATTAATATATAAATACTATATTGCGACGTGTTAAGAACTATTTTCTTCTGATAGCTGCTTAAAACTGGCATTATAACCGTTTTTTATTAATTTTTTTAGATCCACTCTTTAACAGTCAATGAAGTACCTTCTTACTACTAAGAAAATATAATATATTTGTGTAATCGACGAAATATATATTTATTATGTGTCTAGGGTAGCGAGGTCTCCCCATACGGCCCTTTGTGGGACGCTCCACCAGCGCCCGTACCATATCCAGACATCCTGGCGTTTCCACCTGCCGACCTAGGTTCGTATAACCTTCTTGAGTATTTTCAACAGTGATAGTTATGTGTATAAGACATATTGGAGAATTTAAAAATCACAGCGCTTTGTGAGCTGTTCGTGAAAGCTGTAGCTTTAAGAGAAATGTCTACTGTTCATACCAATAACGTATCGAACAGTCAAAAAGTCAAAAGTCATTTATTCATATAGGTAACACAATTTACACTTATGAATGTCAAAAAAGAAATATTCAATGCTTCTAATTTTACATTTACTGCCAGTTCTCAAATCAGGGGCGTAGAACGGAAGAGAAGAACTGGCAATTAAGTCTCCGCCACTCTTTTTGATCTACAAGTTTTTTGTTTTACACAACGTTTGTAAGGAGCTGCAACCATTACGCCATGTTCCACATGACATCTTAAGTAATAAATAATAATAAAATAAATTTAAAACAAAGATTTGTCCTCTATCAGCAGGAGGCATGGTGAAATAGGAGCACGCAATTACATTCTCGTGGTACAGTGCAGTTGTAGCGATCTATTTTACCTTTTAGCTTTCCAAACTAAACAGAGACAACACATTTCGATATGACAAGTCACTAGTGCTTGACAGGCTTCTTCTAATTAATTTGCGATATTTCTTTTAAAATACGTGTTGTTTGATGATTTGCTATTTTTAAAGAGTAGGTACCGAGAGCTTTTTATGCCGGCTTTTTCTCTCGGCCTACACCCTCTGTCTTCTTTGCCGATGAGTAGGGATGCCTACAAATTCAAATTTAATGACGTGGAATAAGTGATACCAGTATCTTATATTCCATAATAAACATATTTTATTTTTTATTTATTTTAAAGAGTACCCTGATTGTAGAAAAGAAGTTTCAGCACTAGTTATTTATAAAACGTAATTAAATCGAAGAAAAGAGGATTGTAGAGACGAAGAGGAATAGGACGGTAATCGTCGACAGGTGGCTTACCAGTACGTGTCCTTAATCATCAAAGACGTACTCTTTGAGTTACAGTTGAAGGCACGATGTTTGACTATTGACCAGATTCCTTTGTTAATTTTGTATATAACATTATTCTAACAGTATGGTCGGCGGCAGGCTGTGGAAGGGGACCTCGGTCGACTTCAGGCGGAAAAAAGGTCCGCCGTCGGGTCGCATCTGTCGCACAGCGGCGCGCCGCAAATATTCGAGAACGTAGACGAATGTTCAATCTCAATGAAGCGTTTGACAAGCTAAGACGAAAGGTACTTTCTTATTTAAAAGCCACCTTCTTAATTCAGTCCAATAGCACCATAAAGTGCTCATCTGGCTTATTCTCTTCTTTTATTTGACAGTAAGAGTAAAACTTAACCGTGATGGCTGGAAGTCTTTCACGGTCCGCTTCACCAAACTTTCTTTTCAAGTCGTTTCTTTTGCAAACATACGAAGTTTGCAAAAGAAACGACTCTCGGTGAGGGTGTTGTGTTGAAGATACGACCAATTGTTTAAAGAGTATACTACTTCCTCAAAGGCCGGCAACGCACCCACTAAAATGGACGTCCATGGGCTTCGATGCCTGCCCTTTTTGGGCTTCCAAAAAAAAATTTAAAGGCTGGCAATTTGTGAGCCTTCTGCAATGTGAGTGTCCATAGGCTTCTGTATCACATCAGATGAGCCTCATGCCCTGTATAATAAAAAATCAATGCGTCTTCATGTTTTTATTCTCTCTGATCATCTATAGTATCTAACGATATACAGTTTTATTAGTACGATTGATTTTGTGTCAATATAACTTTTACGCCTGACATTTTTTTTGGGCTTAAGATTAATTAATTTCACGATATTCTTCATCATCGTAGAACCGTGTTAATTGGCAATGTATAACGTAAAACTAAAATAAATGGATTTGTGGATAAAGGAAGATTTACAAATCAAATCAAAATCATTTAGCTAACACAATGTACACTTATGAACGTCAAAAAAGAATTACATATTAAATGCTTCCAATTTTACATTTACTGCCAGTTCTCAAATCAAGGGAGTAAATAAACTCTCCGCCACTGTTTTTAATAGTCGCCAAGTTTTTTGTATTACACAATGTTTGTAAGCTCCTCCTCTTTGTAAGGCCTCCAATGCAAAGAAAGGTCTAATACCAATGTCTAATATTTATTTTCGAAAAGGGATCAGTACCAAATTACACGAAATCCGTACGAATAATAATAATTTACCTCTGTTAATGGATTCGTTGCATAAAGATCTTCCTTTTATAAGGTAGCTTCTAGGTAAAAAAATATTAAAGACTTTACATTTATGGATATTTTCAATAATCAAAACAGTAATTAATAATAATTAAATAACTAAATAAAATCATGTTATAAATTAAATTTATACAATAAAAGCGAGAAGTGACCAAGCGCTGATAATTTTAATTTTAGTGATAATAGTTTCGAGTGCTATGCACAGCACATCAGCAGCTGCAAAACAAGGTCAAAAAGAGATCAAGATTTAGTTTTGATTTAAACTCTTATACTGGTGTAAACCTAAGACACTAGAAGAAGTGTAACTGTATTAACTTTTTAAGTGTATATTAATACAAGAGCATATAAAGCGCAAATTTGGCCCCACATGGAGTACTCGTTTTCGCTTGACAGAATTCACAGAGTGATTCGAATCGTCAACGACCAGTCTCATTCCGAGTGGCTTGATCCCTTGGCGTTGCGTAGAGATATGGGCTCTATCTGTATCTATTACCGCATTTATTTTGATCGGAGTAAAAACGGCAGCTGAGTTTCATCATCGGACGTCAAGGCAGAATACAAAACACCATCCGTATCACCTCGACGTCCGCCATTCCACAACTGCGGGTTTCTTAAGGTAGTTTTTGCCGCGTACCACCACCAGCTGCCTAAGAATAGAGCGTACCAATTCTTAAAAGGCCGCAATGAGAGAGCCTTCCGGCAATGTGAGTGTCCATGGGCGGTATCACATAACATCAGATGAGCCCATTTATCTCCTGTTATGTAAAATAAATGAATAAATAACCTTCGCAAACACAATGTTCGTCAGTAATTAACTATTACAGGTACCAACTTTCGCGTACGAGAAACGCCTTTCCCGCATCGAGACACTGCGCCTAGCTATAACCTACATCAGTTTCATGTGTGAGCTACTTCATGGATCACCACAGCCTCATCACACCACCCACCCCACATTACATACAAGACAAATCTTCGAGAACGATGTACCGTGGTGCGCATAAGTTAATACGATCATTGCACTGCGACTGCGTTTCCATTTGAGATTCAGGATTATAATCCCCAATTGCGGTGAATTTTCGGGAGAGAAATTATATTCAAAAATGATATCTTATATAGTGATAGATTCTAGTCATGTTAGATATTAAGATTATAGTAATTGTATAATGAATGTGTCTTCCATTATGATTAAATTATTTTATTTTAATATTAAATAAATATATTATAAGTACAATTATTTTTGTTTTATTTAAATGACGTTAGTGATATTTCCTTTATGCATTTGCATCATTGGCATTAAGACGTTTACGTTTCAAAAAAGTGAATTAAAGAAGCTATTAGGTTACTCTTCAATTAGAGACCACGCAAGATTATAGATCTAAGTTGCCCCTGGTAGATAGTACCGGTGACCCAAAGGCTGGTGCTTTCCTCACTCAACGAATAAGTATCGCAATACAGCGAGGAAATGCTGCGTTAAAGGTGAACTGCCACAGGGACCGAACTTTTTAAAATGCTATTAATTAATTTTTAATCATTTTTATTATAATATTTGTATGTTGAAATTAAAGTAAACAAAAATGAATTGCAAAATATGTTGCTAAGGTTGGTTGAACTAAGGCGAGTATTTTTTTATTCCTTAGTACTTAGGTTCTTACTACGTAAAAGCACAGGGGTGGGTGTAGGTACAAGGTGTGTAAGCACAGGGGTGTTGGAGGGGTAGTAGGTAAAACGTTCCATATGGTATTTACTATTTAGCTATAATATAGTTTTCGAAGACAGCTATAATAATAATTAACATAAATAACTTATTAAACGTTAAAAATAGTATATAGATAGAGAAGAATAAGACAAAAACTGTACTCAATTTATTAATCAAATAAGTAAAGACTATATAAACATATCAAATAATATATTTCTAATGATTCTCAATTTATTTAAAAATAAATTTAAGGGATGACAATAGATACTTAAAACAATAAAGATATTATTTAATTTATTTTAATAAAAAATACAGTAGAATAAAGAAAATATAAATCTAATATATAAAATTCTCGTGTCGCGGTGTTTGTAGTTAAACTCCTCCGAAACGGCTAGACCGATTCTCATGAAATTTTGTGTGCATATTGGGTATGTCTGAGAATCGGACAACATCTATTTTTCATCTCCCTAAATGTTAAGGGTAGTCCACCCCTAATTTTTTTTTTAATTTTTAGATAAAAATTTTTTTATGATACAACATTAAAAAATACAAACAACCCCTAATTTTCACCCCTCTACGATCCACCCCTATTTTTTATTATAAATGATATACATGGCAAAACGACGTTTGCCGGATCAGCTAGTATATATATGTATAAGTATAAAACTAGCGGACCCCACTCAATGCTTTCAAATTAATTAATTAACTCATTATGTAAGAAAAATAGTACGGTAGTTATAAATAGACCGGGTTCATGATTTTCCTATCAAATCAGGATTCCCGGTAAAAAACCCCTGTAAAATTTAATTAATAAATTAAATTAATTTAACTTTATTAAAGTTATCCGATGATGCCTTGGTTTACCAAGGTAAAAGTCTTTTCCAAGTCTATTACTGAAGTAGGTTAAAACATTTTATAAACTTTTAAATCTATTTTACTGGATATACGATCATAACAAAAAAGTACTTAGTAGAAAGTGTTTTTTTTTTAATTAAACTTTATTCTCATTTATAAACAAACGTTAATTAGTTATAATATCTCTCATTATTATACAGTTCTTGTGGTCATATTATACTGGTGAACTGGTGAAAATCCTGATGCCATTTTCCAAGATTTCGTGCTATATTATTCCTCCGTAAGTTAACTCCGAGAACTTTATAGCCGTTTCTCCACTGATCCGGTCTGGCAAATGTTAATTACCGATCCGATTTAGAAACTCATAACAGTACATACTTACTCCTCCACTACTCCGGCATCCGGTTTTTAACGATCCGATAACTTGCTAGATCGGAACGCGGTGGTTTATCGGTCCAAGTATATCCAAGTATCCAAGAGGTTATAAGTTATTATTCACAAGTTTATTTATAGTTTGTTTAATTTGAAAGAATCTGGATAACCTGGACCAAACCAAATTATGTTGCTATTTATTTCTATTTTTATATAGAAGGCAATCCGGCCTTCCGATATTTTTCTCATGACTCATTCCGGTATCCGATGCCGGACCGGAGCAGTGGAGAAAGGGCCTATCTCTGTCTTTTGAATGTAGACGATTGATTGCTATGTTAATAGCATACATTATTAACAAGGTTATAGATATTATAACAAATTCTTGGTTTAATGATGAGACTGTGTTGCCTAGTTACACTAACAATATAGTGATTGATAATATATCTTCATGTTGTACGAAGGAGGGTCCACATATAATACCAACATACTTGGAGGCCAATACCAGTCAGATAGAGTATACTCTTGCTGCTGGAACACATACCTTAGATTATTCTACAGTAGTTGCAGAGGTCACTCCGGATAGTACTTTAAACTAGGCTGTAAGACAACAGAAGTTAACCGTTTAAATAATCAATTAAGTGGATAATAAAAAGGTATCTTCTGGCAATTTAACATGTTTTAATAAACCGAAAGGAAAGCAACATACTTTAAGATTATTTCATCAGAATATTCAAGGTTGCTCTTCCAAATTACTGGAAATAGAAATGTTTTTCGAAAAAAACCAAGTTCGATATTATTTGATTAACTGAACATTGGTTAAATGATCATCAGATAATGTCTATGCGAAGCGTATGATACACGGTGGATCATTAATATTAATCAAAAATTCTGTTAAATCTAAAGACGGGAAAGACATTATCAGATTGACATTCCATAAAAAAAAAATATTTGCAAAAGAGAGCTGTCAGAGCCATTTATAATCAACGTCGTCGCGAATCTCTCAGGGAACTATTTAAAAAAGATGAATATTATGACAGTACCTTGCCAATTCATTTATGAAAATATTATGTATGTAAGAAAGAATCTACATCTTTTTAGTAAAATAAATGATAGACATAATTTTAGTACTAGAAATAAAGATAAAATAGCTCAACCACATTTAGCCAAAGTTCAAACATCATTTATGGGGTACTGTGTTAAATGTTACAATAAAATACCTTGTGACATATTAAAACTAAATGAACAAAAATTTAAATGTTTTTTTAAAAGTAGGTACACTTTGTAAACAAGCATATTACAAATTAGAGGATTATATTCAAGATAAGAATGCTTGGAAACATGCTGGTCCTGCTCCATAGAACAATCATAGAGCCTGGACAAAATCTAATATAGTTGCTGACTTTTTGCTTTTACATATTTTTGTTATTTTTTTTAATTTATAATACTACAAAATGTAATTATTTTATTTTATCTCACACACTGTTTTATTGTGTTTCTTTTTATATTATTTTTATTACTCTTTAATGTATAATATTCTACGGTTTCGATATTTGTAAATATGTATAATAACTTTTTAGTATAGTATTTTTATTTTATGAGTACATTGTCTTCACATACGAGTAATATAATTATTGAACTAATGTCAACAAAATATTGTAAACCTATTTTAAAAGAGTAAATGTGGAGTTTCTTGCCCATTCTTCTCCACACGAAACTATCTTTTGGAAGGGGCAACTAGAATCTTCTTTATATTTTATTTGACGTTCAAAGGTGCCATTTTAGGTTCAAAAAGTGAAGTCAGAAAAAAAAGTTCAAAGTCAAAGTGAAATCATTCATTGAAATGAATGATTTCACTTTGACTTTGACTTGACTCAATTTTGTCCAATATCCAGTCTATGTACTTTCTAACATCTGTGTAGACTGCCGAGCCGGTCCCACAATCAGTGTTTCCAAACGACACAATACCATATTGAACATATCGGGAGCTTTCAGGGTGTTGAATCATGAGAGGCCCGCCGGAGTCGGCATTGCAAGAATCTCTGCCGCGAGTGCCAGCGCATATAGTGTTATTGATTCTGAAATCAAATTTAGAACTTGACGCACCATATTGTGGTGCTGTACAGGACACGAGACGGCTAGCCTCCAGTTTTAAAGACCCACGGTAAATGAAACCACAAAAAGTTACATCAATAAATTAGATAATTGATTATTATAATTGGTATGTTTTGCAGTTTTTAAAGTCTATTTAATAACTATTATGACTGTTGAACATGTTCTATACATATTTTTATTTACATCAGGGCCAGATTTAGGAGAGGGCAACCGAGGCTACAGCCCCGGGGCCTCCACAAAAGAGGGGTACTAGCAAACATTAGTAAACAACTTTTTTTTAAATATTTTTATATGATTGTTTAATACGAAAAGAATCTATTTGTTTCACAATAAATTATTAATTGAAAAACTGTCTGATTCAAAAAAAGATGTCTGTCTGAAAACTGTTTTCTCCATTTGATTTGCATTGGCCTCCTATCCTTTGATGTCCCTAGGCCTCCAGGCCTTTAAATCCGGCCCTGCTACTTTGATTGTTCTACTATTTTTACACGCTTTATATTAGCTTCACCTGTATGCATGTATGTATGTATGTAACCGACTCCTTCGGACTCGATTTTGACCCACTTTTAACGGACAGATTAAATTCAAACTTTGCGCACCTGTCAAAGATCGATGACAATGCAATAATCCGAAAAAAAATGAAAAAAATAAAAAAAAGAAACTAAAAAATAAATATAGTTAAAAAAAACTAAAAAACACGCTTTTAAAGGACATCAAACTAAAAAGTGAAAAATAATTCCTAATTTAGGCTGAAAATGGTTATTGCCATAAATTTCGTCTATCGGCAACCCACTTTTTCCATCAAAAAGTGTGTTTGTTCATTACCATTCGCTATTAGGAACTATTTTTCACTTTTTAGTTTGATGTGCTTTAAAAGCGTGTTTTTTAGTTTTTTTTAACTATATTTATTTGTCTTGAGAAAGCAATAAATGCTAACATGTCTTTAAAATGAATAATGAAACAGATGAAAAAATCTGTCCGCCCCTCCATTCAAGTTCTCACCGTGTCGTAAATCCCCCCCGGGCCAAGATTAATAAAAATTACCTTTGGCATGAAGCGTCATTATGTATCTTAATTGTCACTTTAAGTAATTCAATTGATCGCGTTCCTGTCTCGATAGCTCCCCATCCCGCGACAACTGCTTCCTCATCCAATAAATTACTTTCGCGAAATTCTTTATGCAGAGGTAGACAAATTGGCGCAACGTTGTCTAAAAAACAAAATATTAAGATAATGTATTAATGAGTATGTATTCCGTTATTCAACTCCTTGAATTGAGGTATCGGAGGTCAAGGCAGAATACAAAATACCATGCGTATCACCTCGACGTCCGTCGTTCCACAAAGGCAGTTTTTGCCGCGCACCAACACTATATGGAAATAGATGCCCGCAAAAGTATTTCCGAACCAATTCGACTTAGGGACTTTCAAGAAAAGAGCGTAATTTGTAAAAGGCTGGCAACGCACTTGCGAGCCTTCTGGCAATGTAAATGTCCATGGCGGCGGTCTAACTTAACATCAGGTGAGCCTCCTGCCCGTTTGCCTCCCATTACATAAAATAAAGTTTTTGTCTCTCTCAGATTTTGATGTCTGTTTGTCAAAAACAAGAACGTTTTTCGTTTGCTGACATACCTGGACTGAAATCGATCTCTCCGTCTAGTCGTACCAACGCTATATCGAACGATGGCCTTTTTTTCTCCCCGTTTGATAAATACCTCTCATGGGGAATACATTCTTCTATGGAGAAATTCTAAAAAAACAAAATAAAGCCTAAAGTACAAACTCCAAGAGCTAAGGGATTTTTGAGCCAATTCCAAATACACAGCCCTGCGATTCTGTAACTCACTTTTCGAACTCACACAGCGGTTTTCGGATCGCCGGTCGCTCTCAAATCAGTCGTGAAGCAGTCATTTTATGATTTGGCATTCTGAAAAGGTGGAAGCTTGTAGTTTATTGTTTATTAGAATGCCAAATCATAAAATGACTCTTACGACTGATTTAGAGCGACCGCCGTTGCGAAAACCGCTGAGTGAGTTCGAAAGTGAGTTACAGAATCGCAGGGCGTTCGTAAAAATAAAAAGTAAAACGTAAAAAAAGTTCGTAAATCAGTGATGCTACAACGTGTTTTTAGGTCTGGACCTCTGATTTCTGAATCTGTTTTATGATTATTTGTCAATCTAATAGACACACGGCTCCTCAAGATGTTTTCCTTCACCGTTCGAGCGAATATTTAATGCGCACATAGCAAAAAGTTCCATTGGTGCACAGCCGGGCTTCGAACCTACGACCTCAGGGGTGAGAGTCAGAAAAACAGATTAAAACAGATTTCTTGAAAATTTACTCATTTCTTGAATATTTATATCCTATTTTTAATTGTTACCTGAACAGAGTCTTCACAAATACTGTTGTCTAAAGTGCAGTCTATCTTTTCTATGTTAAATTCTCCTACTCTCACACCAGCTAATTTCTTTCCGAACACACAGTGGGCCGCTGTTAAGATGTACCTTGAATGTATAATGGACCCACCACACGTGAACTGCGGTTCACTATCGGAATCTATAAGAAAATGTGCAATAAGTATTGAATCGAATATTAGACAATATTGTAACACAATGTACACGAAATAACTAACATCGCCGCATACACAAATTCATGTACGACCAGTCACCACAAGTAGCACCCGTTCACGAGTATAACGCATGGGCAGCCATCGGCCCCCTCGCCATATTTTATGGTAGCTGTACACACTCGGCGAGACACCCCGAGACAGGCCGAGGGCGAGAGTGTACAGTAGAGCTCTCGTCTCGCCTCGCTTCCTCGCAGTCGGTCTCGCCTCTCTCGGTCGCCTGTCGGTTTTTTGCGCACGAGTCAAAGGGTCTCGCGAGTAAAACGAGAGCGACCTGTACACACTCGTTCAATCACTTGCTCGATGACTGTGGTTGTGACAGGACGTATCGCACAATGTGGTCTAACGAACGCTCCCAATTGAGGAACTAAAGAAAAAGCGAGATTCACTCATGGCTACGTACCGTGGACATAAAAGAAAGATTAATGCATCTATACAATCAGGCGTTGCAGCTGACTCTGTCTATAAACCAATATGGTTTGCGTATGATTTTATGGATTCCTTTTTAAGTGATATAACTCAATGTAGAAAAACTATAAATACAGAAACACTAAGAAACACAGTAAGCAATTATTTTTATTCTTTATAAGTATGTAGGTTAGGACTTCGAACAATATACAGTATTAAATAAGGTTATTAGAAACAAAGGCCTAGCTGGTAAGTTTTCTATTCAAAGCATAATTAGGTATACATTCAATGAATTTACCTTAATAATAATAAAAAATTTGCACATTTGCCTGTAATCGTCTCTTTGGCAGGCTTATACAAAAATATAGTTTTCTTAAATAAAATTATTATTAAGGTATACCTAAATAATTTAAGTTGTATGGAAATCACTATAATGTAAACTATATTAATAATTATGCTATATAACTATTTAAGAAATATGTTGCAAATTCATCTCTAATTTCATTTGCATTCAGTGATGATCTTTTTGCTATTTGTTGTAAAGGTCTGATGGCATTTTTTTTTATGGTAAACGTGAAGAAAATTATAATAACTTATTGCACAAAGACAAACAGCAGCAGCGGTTTCCACGTCCATTATTAACGGTGTTTTAAATACAAATAACGTAACGAGTGTGTACAGGCTGCGCTCTTCTCTCGGTCCTCTCGGTCGAGACTCTCGGCGAGAGGCTCTCGCCGAGTGTGTACAGCCACCATTAGGGAGAAAGACAACCCGACGCATGGACGCCGCCACAAGCAATGACATTTATGTATTTATAAGCTCCCCAAAAAACGCACTTTTTCTCTTTCAGAGTCCCTTTCATCTTTAACCAATTTCTTTAAAACAAAATATCACTATCGATTCATAACTTTATACATTCGCTAATAATCTAAAGCAAAATTTTTCAAACCTGTCCTATGCTGAAACCGAAATTATTCCTTTTGTACAACAGAAGTTTAATTATGAAATTGTAGGTATCAAGTAGTATTTATTACGGCAAGTACCTAAAATCATTAATATGTCAAATGGAAGAGAATAGCTGCCCACGACACAGAGAATCCTAGTGTGGGCCACTTTCTCTTTGAACATTATTTTTTATGTGTATAGAGTGTTTTTCTTTTCCTTTCGTTCTCATTGATTAAGAGATATATAAACATAATAAAAAATAAAAAGCTTTCTTAGAAATATTTTGAAATGTTTTGTATAGGTTTACCTATAAAAGTAGATATAAGCGCCATCCAAGGAAACTCGTATAAGTCAGCATATTTTCCTCCGTAAATCCGGTCCGCGGCGTAGGAGGTAAGTCCACACTTGGTCGGCAGTAACTCATTACTCTCGTTCACGGAAAATAATGTATCAACGTCCGTTTCATGATTCATTCTGCTATGTATCTCTGGTGATGCGAAATCAGAACAGCATACCTGTGACAATAAATTTAGTTTGGTCAGTTTTTTTTAGTTGGATTTAGTTTCAACAGAGGAAAGTTCTAGTTTTGGGTCAAGAGTCTGTAAACCCAGCCAATAATATATTGGAATAAATTAAAGGTTTATTATAAGTTCTTTTTATTTCATAAATACATTACTTTGTACGGTTTTTAGGTTAGGCTTAGGCAATACTGTTGTTATGTACAATGTTGATAGAATTTTATACATTTACTGTATACAAAATTGAATTTATTACCAAATAAATCCTTCATTTTTCTTTCTTAAATAAACGCTATGTGTATCGTACAAATTATATATAAAAAATGCGTGCGTACAAAGTACGCATGTCAGAAGTGAAATTCTTTGGCAAACTAATTTTTAAATCTTGTTCATATTTATACAAATTAGATTTCCAAGACTTAGAGGGAGGGAAAAAGGAAGATATGTTTTTCATTATATGTAGTGTATATGTATGTGTATTTTTTTATATTTATTTCTTCGTTAAACACGTGGCATTTTAATTTACAATTCGTCATTTAAGATTTCAATAATTATTTGCATTAAATATAAAATACTAATATTACATAAATTCTCTTTACGAAATTTTAATTTAAAAAATTCTCAATCGGTCTCAATCGCTCTCGACAAAAACCTTTTCTTCGACAAAAACGCTGCACATCTGTACTGTAAAAATTATACCCTCCTGCGCTAAAGAAGTTTCACTTCAAAAACTAATTAATAAGCCGTACATGTAATCAGTTTCTTATGTAAAGCTTCTGCAACAAATTGATAGGGGCAGTTTTTCTGTATGTTTTATTAAAAAACTTCCTACAATTTAGAGAAGAGACTCTTGGTCCGTACGGTTCAAGTCATCAAGTGCACATGCGCTAATTAAAGATCTAAGTTGACCCCAGAGCTGGTGCTTTCCTCGCTCAATGAATAAGTATCGCAATACAGCGAGGAAATGCTGCCAGAATAAAGGTGCACTGCCACAGGGACCAAACTTTTAAAATTTGTTTAAATTTTCTATTTATAAATTTTTTTATTATTATTATTACTGTGCAGGTAAATACTGTATATTTGACACACTTACCATTGGAGCTGTGCCGTCAAAGCCGCAAATACCTTGATACAATTGAAGAAGAGACTCTGGTGTCTTAAAAAAACTTGTAATACTATATGCCCCTGGACACGCCAAGTTCATAATACAGTCGTCACATTTTCCTGAAATGTATAAATACAAAAATAATATATTTTTTGAATGCAATAGCAAAAAGGTTGGTCAACATCACAGGAGACCGAAGAGCTGGCAGCTACCTCGGACAAAGACTTAGTCTAGCTATTCAATGGCTGCCAGTAGCTTCGGAACCTTGCCTAACGGGACTCTAATTTAATAATATATTTTGGTTATTATATTTTAAGGTTAGTTATTGCTTTTCTTTTATTTATTGATTTGTAATATAAAGGTTAATAATATTAATATTTATTATATTGTGTCCTTCATCTAAAAAAAAACAATATTATATAATAGGAAACTTTTTTAGTTCAATAAAAATAACTATCTAAAATTTTAAAAATTGGGGTAGAGGAGTGAAAATTAGGGGTTGTGTGTTGTATCATAAAAAAATAACAACAAAAAAAATTAGAGGTGGACACCCGTATCGCTTAGGGGTTTGAAATATAGATAGTAGCCGATTCTCAGAGTTACTGAATATGAATATAAAATTTCATAGGATTCGGTCGAGCCGTTTCTGAGGAGTAGGGGAACAAGCATTGTGACACGAGAATTTTATATATTAGATAATACAACAGGGATTAATCAATTGTTTTTACTACTTTATATGCGTTATTCAAACTAGCGTTCTGTCTTTAAACGTGTGGTCCAACTTTCGAATCCTGGCTGTGCACCAATGGGTTTAGAATCCTCGTACGATGTAAAGTCAAAAAAAGGTCAAAACATATAGCATCATCTTTAAGGATAATTAAAACAATATGCAACCAATTTTACATTGCTAGTGATTTGATCTTAATTTGCCTAGTAAAAAGTAAAAATAAAATTTTCCTGTTTATTCGTAGTAACCAAAAGCACGGAAAATCAGAAATATATGTATTTTATATATTATATTATAATAAAATAAACAATGTAAAATCAAAATCAACTTACGCCAGGAATGCACTATATAAAACTGGAATACTAAAATCGCTATTTTTATTAACATTATAATTATTAATTCAATGACCAACACGAGTTATTTTCAATATATAACCACAATAATGTCAATTCTAATTAAGCATGCGATAACATATGCCCCACCAATTGTATGTAATTATAATCATTACCTCCCTCGGAGACGCAAAAAGGTGGGGCCGGCCGCAGAGCAGTCGGTAATTAAAAAAAAAAAATTTTTTTTTTTTATTTATTCCTACATAATTATTGTATGTATAACGCATGCTTGGCTGACCCGACTTCTTCAGTACATAGTCCCCTCGTGAGTTGTGTGCGATATTGCGGGCGTTAGCGCTGCGTTCTTATGTTCTCATGTTATTTTCACACGTATAATTAACATATTTTACATTTAAAGAAAAAACTTTTTAACCGGATTAAAATTATGTATTATTATAAATTACAATTATTTAACATAATTTTAACCGACGTTAGAAATTTAAAATTATGTTAAATGATTGTGTATTTATAATATACATCACTTTAATCCGGTTAAAAAGTATTTTCTTTAAATGTGTGAAGGTTATGTCAATAAGAGACAATACTATATTTTTACATGTATCTGATGTAACTTTTAGGTTAATAATAACGTATTATCATTGATAATAAACAACCCATAATGTTAAATACTTATTTATTGTAATAATGTCTTAATACAATTTAGCAAATGTATTAAGAAATTATTCTCGTAAATTGTCTAAAATCCATTTGACATATTTTCTAACATCCACGTACACCGCTCCTTTATTAGACGATCCACATTTCTTAGGTCCATGTGACACGATACCATATTGTATATAACTACTGACATTATTATAGAAGTCTGTCATCATCAGAGGACCACCAGAATCCCCGATGCAGGAGTCTTTGTTCTTTCTCCCGGCGCAAAGGCTGTTCACAGCGTAGCACTTCCGATTAACAGGGACCTTAACTTTTAGAAGGACTTCGGAGGGTTCATTGTATTCGGTGTATCCCCAACCAGTGACTATACCAGTTTTCAATGCAAGCTTTTTGTTTCGTAGTTCAGAGGACACAGGTAGGCAAATAGGTTCAACTCCGCCTGAAAATTATACAACAACTTCAGCTATCAATTTAAGGAATTAAGGGATTTTTATTACTTTACTTTTCAGTAGTTGTTGCTATTCTTATAAACAAAGTTACAGCGAGGAATAATACAATCTTAAATGACAGTCTTAATCGCCATGGTAATAATAAAAATGATTGAACAATTAATAAATAGAAAATTAAAAAGTTTGGTCTCTGTGGCAGTGTACCTTTAAGGAAATTGTAAATACTGTATATTTGATTGTTATGTTTAGGATTTTAATTAACAATTTTCAATGTTTTAAATTTTGTACTCTTATTTAGTTTAAATTCCTCTAGTTAAACGATGTTTCCTTAAGGAAAAAGTATTTATACATTTTCCTTAATTAATGCCGAACATAAATCATGATTTACGTCACGTTTGTAGGTATGTACGTATATAGATATCTTAATATATATAAATTACGTGTCAAGTTGTTTGTCCGCTATGGACTCCTAAACTACCGAACCGATATTAATCAAATTTGCACACCGTGTGTAGTTTGATCCAACTCAAAAGATAGGATAGCTTATATCTCAATTTATACCCGCAATATTATTTTATTGCAAGATATCTGTTTATTATTAGATAGTCATAATTCTAACAGATGGCGCTGTGTTAAAAGTACCAACGTTTCACATAAGCTACAATTCAATGGCATAATCACTAAAAAAGCATGGTGGTCCCCATGACTGGTGTTCTCCTACCGTTTCCCTTGAATAGGTTACTACTGTGTAATATAACTAAAACCTTAGCCACAGCAACGCTTGGCCGGTCTGCTAGTACGTATATATTACTATCCTATATAAAAATAAAATATAGAATAGTAATATAGAAATATAAATATATATCTATAGATATAATAGTCTATTTCATACTCACTCTTTTGGAAATCAATCACACCGTCTAGACGTAGTAAAGCGATATCGTTATATTTTGAGGGCCAGCTTTGGTATTGTTCATGAATTATAAACTTTGCAACCTTCATCTATAGAAAGTAAAATGCATTTAATATCTTATTTAAGGAATAAAGCGTGAGTTACTTTATGCTCGACGTTTCTAAAATACAAAATAATAATAATGACATGGAAAAGGGTGGTGATGGTATTTTAACAGTATATGATAAAGTTTAACTGATGATTTTTGAGTAGGTCCGGTCCGCCCTTGATGTGATGAGTAGGTCTGCCCTTTAATTTAAATAAGCTTAATTCAGCTTTTATATATATATATAATATATATATATTCACTAGTATTGTAAAGAATTAAACATAATATTACTTGTTAGTATTATTGTAAATAGATTGTAATTCATGTAAAGTCGCACTCTGTTTTGTGAAATTTATTCTATGAAAAAAATCTTTTGTTATAAATTTATAGTGGTTATTATTTGAGTCTAGTGATATAACCATTTCCGTGATTTAACAATATACTACATGTCCCTTCTCTCTACTTATAATTGAAGTTTTTTTGTGTATATGTCTACGCCGTAGCTAACTTATATTCTTATCGTCTAGTTATAGCTACGCCAGCAGATCTACTCGATTATAAACCGCCGCATTTCAGCAGTTGAAAGTTAATTCTTATGCAACTTTTGTTTCAATCGATACCTCCTTTTTGTATGAAGAAGGTACCAACTTTGAAAAAGAAAACATTGTCTGCTCAGAATACAAATTGCGTTATCCAACGGCGCTCCTCAGGTACACGACTTCCATTCTAGACCAAACCTATTGCTTTAAAGATTCTACAGCTTAGCACATTCTCTTATTGTCGATTGGACACAGACTCTTTGTTTGCTCAAATATTCATACGAACTTTCAGAATTATAATAAAAACCTCAATATGTGGTCTGCAATTAACAATATTTCCCGGAAGATATTCACAGTCGGGATCCTCATACAAATTGTATTCCCCAACTCTAACGTAATCAATTGGAAAATTGATGACGCAATGCGCTGCTGTCAGAATGTATTTGGAGTTTATGACACTACCAGCGCACATTCGATTGGAATCTGAAATACATATAATGGAGACTGGTTAAATGAGTACTACGCAAGGAAGTTCTTGGTATGATTGTTAAGGTATAAATTAGATGTGATGGCAATCAAAGGCTGAATTTTACAAGAAAATGATATGTTATAAATATATTCTTTGGAGCTGTGTTGGATTTAGCGTGTAACTCTCATCCCTGAGGTCATAGGTTCGATCCCCGGCTGTGCACCATTGAACGTTCATTCTATGTGCGCATTTAACATTAGCTCGAACGGTGAAGGAAAATATCGTGAGGAAACCGACATGTCTTAGACCCAAATGTCGACGGCGTGTGTCAGGCACGGGAGGCTGATCACCTTCTTGCCTATTAGATCTAAAAATGATCATGAAAAAGATTCAGAAATCTGAGGCCCAGACCTAAGGGTGTAACGCCACTGATTTAGTTTTATTTTGTATAAAGTCGTTTTACTACTAAAAGGTAGACGATGACATTACACAAGTCGCGGGAACAACATGGGGTAGAGTGGCCATAGAAAGGCCAGAATGGAGAAGATTGGAGGAGGCCTTTGCCACCTGGCAAACGGATACGCAAAAGTGGAACAAAAGAACAATCTACGAAAAATAAAGAAAAAATACTATCATGTCCGAAAAGAGGCTATAATAATAATAATAAGTACTGAAAGGACTAATAAAGGATACACACACAGGTGATTTTAAACATCACCTTTATATCTTATAACTGCCATCCAAGGAAACTCGCCAAGGTCGGCTTTCCTGCCGCCGATGATTCTGTTACCAGAAATACTACCACATACATTAGGTAGCAAGTTTTCTTTTCTTTTCTCAAAAGGTAGAAAGTCTGAACAGCACACCTGGGGCAATAATTTATAGAATAGATTTAATACAATTACAAAATAATTATTTAAAAGAGAAATTATTCGTTTGCTACATTATACAGGTAGAAACAGACAATAATAATAAATATTTTCTCGAATAATAAACGTTAATGAATACGCCTTCATTTATAAACATCATAACAATCGGTTAAAAACAATAAATGTCCGGATTTCCAGAAAGATTGGACCACGTTTTATGGAGGCTGATACCTGCAGCTGATTAATAGCTGTGATTCATGATCAGACGTCGAGGCAGAATACGATATTCCACCCGTATCACCTCGACGTCAGCCGTTCCACGACTGAGCGGCAATTTTTGCCGCCGCTATGTGGAACCGGCTGCCCACTGAAGTATTTCCGAACCAATTCGGATTAGGGTCCTTCAAGAAATGAGCGTACCAATTCTTAAAAGGCCGGTAACGCACCCGCGAGCCCTCTGGCTTTGAGAATGTCCATGGGCGGCGGTATCACTTAACATCAGATGACCCTCCTTAACGTTTGCCCCCTGTTGTATAAATAAATCATTAATTGAAGTTATCGAAAGTTTACCTTAAAATAAAGTTGGCCATTGTACTGTTGAAATCCACAAAACGCTTCTTCAAATAGTTTCATTGTTTCATGGTCCCTTTTGTATGAGAGGTCGATGGCCGTCTTGCATTGCGAAATCATCATACAACTATTGCAGACCTCTAAAATTGTTTACTATTAATAAATATTGGTGAGGAAAAACTCACGAACTAAGCAGTTCCTTCATTTCATTTCTCTGGGTGGATAGAAGAAATAGAAGCGGTAGCAGGAAACGAATGGAGAAAGAGAGCCATAGACAGATTCAGTTGGAAAAAACTGGAGGAGGCCTTTACCCGTGAAAGGGTCCCGATCGACGGTACTGAAGGAAGCTAGAATATAGAATAAAAAGCAAAAGAAAAAAAAATTAAAATAATCTAAGCTGTGTATAATAATTTGTTATTTTTTGTCATGATTGGAAATAAAACGGGCTTTATTATTATTATTAACCATATCTCTTAGTACAGAAATAGTTGAAAAATTAAATAAAATGTCAAATATTTTTAATTCTTACTCTGTGTTGAACACATTTGCAGCACCAGGGTAATCAAAAGTAAACTTTTAATCATTTTGATAGCTCAAGGTGTGTTCCCCGCTTTGCAAAATTACAAACTGAATTCTAAACCATATACGTATAATATGTTACATAAACATTATTATTTTATTTAAAAATCATGCCATGATTCATGCGGCTTTGTGGGTTTCATATGGCAATACCTAAAATGGGCTTACGAACCTTTTTTTAATGTTGAAGACAGTCATTTTGTATGATGATTTGCTATTTTAAAAGAGTACCGAGAGTTTTTTACGCCTGCCTTTTCTCTCGGCCTATACCGTCTGTCTTCTTTGCTGAGTTAGTATGTCTACCGATTCAAATTTAATGACGTGGAATAAGTGATTTTATATTCCATAATAAACAAATTTTATTTGAAGAGTTGGCTGGTTGAACGGGTTAAAGTTATTTTTGAAGTTATACTTCTTTAGGCGCGTTATGAAAAATTTATGAGAGTGAAATTTTACGATGCGCGCGCACCTGTGACACAAAATTAGGAGTGTGATTATAGCGTGCGCGAGCGAGATAGGAATAAGACAATCTACAAGTAAAAAGAAATAGAATATGCGTGAAGTTCGTATGCCAAGAATTTTGAATGACCATAATGACATATTTTGTCATTTACCTTTTAAACAAATAAAGGAGTTTTAATTATTTTTTCAAAGAAATTTAGCAATGCTTTTTGAATTATAATCAGAAGTGATTTAAATTGAATATTTAAACCAATACTAATTAATATTTGTGAAAAAACTGTGCTCATCAACCTTCCTAAGTGCTTCATTACAATTGAGGTTAACTATCAGTTTGTATTATTATTATCGAGTAATGTTTTGATTAAAAAAATTACCACATTGTTTAATCAAAACATGTAATTTTTCTCTAGCAAATATAAGGACAAGAGACAAAAAACAATTGATGAATCAGTGTAAGTGCACTAAATTGAATACAAAAAAAGAGTTGTCATCTTATCGCTGTGAAACATCAAAAACTGGAGGTGGAACAAAGCCAAACTATTTTTAATAATGCCAAAGAAGTATAACTTCTTACGCGCGTACATAAGTACACGCACCCTTTTTTTTATTTGATAGTGCATTTATCTAGCTAAAAGGTACACTCCCACAGGGACCATACTATTAAAATTTGTTTCTTTTCTTAATTTTTATTATTGCTAATTAGGTTAAGAAAATGTAAATAACGTATGTTTGATTGTTATATTTAGGATTAAATAAACCATTCTTAACATTTATCTAGCTAGACGTAACAAAGTCTACAACCGAACAAGCCAAGTTAACCGAGTTATAATAATAGAAGAGAAGGAATGGAAATATAATGAACATTATAGAAATACAGAAGTTCACGTGAGAGTATTTTTAGGTTTTGTCCATTGTGTAAAATTGTGTGTTTTGTGTAAATATATATTTTTAGCATGTAAGAAAGTAGTTTCAACATTTTTATTATTATTTGTTTGAAATTGTTGAAACAAACATCATTATGTTTGTATTTATAAAGGTGAAAACATTACTAATTAGCATGAATAAAATCAATTGATTTTATATTGTTTTTTTCCAACGTAATTTAATCAAAGACAATGTTTATGTAAGTCACAATAATAAAATGCGGATTCAATAAAATAAGATTCTTAGCGTTATCAGTGTCCAATGTCCATTATATGCATGTTTATCTGTTGGGGAGAAACCCACGTGTTTGTTTTTGTAACTATGTTGTATTCGCTAATACACACAACATTTATAGTAAACTAGGCTCTCACCTACGGCTTTTGGTTGGTACGTAGTAAAAAGTGGCTCCATATTTCTCTGATATCCTTGAAGCAGTTATGACTCTAAAGCGTCCAAAATTGATCAAAAGTCAAATCATTTAAAGAAACTTGCTTGTATATACCGAGGGATCCAACACGGTTGTGGGTGCCTGCATGAAGCACCACGATGGATGCAAAAAATTGTTACGCCATGGCTATCAAACTACATATTTAATCACCTTCCTGGTTGTTATAGATCACTGCCGTGTAATGCTTTCAAGGGGAAGGTGATTAAATTTTTAAAGGCAAGGTGCTTTATAGTGTGTGAGAGTATTAAAAAAAAATCAAAATCATTTATACATATAGGTAACACAATGTACACATATAAAAATAAAAAAATAATATATTAAATATAAAAATAATATAAATGCTTCTAATTTTACTTTTACTGCCAGTTCTCAAATAGAAGAACAAAAGAGAAGAACTGGCAATAAACTCTCCGCCACTCTTTTTAATCGCCAAGTTTTTTGTTTCATACCATATTAGATCATAAGTTTGACAACAATTATAAATAACTTAATTTTATTATTATGACATTATTTTAACGTTCTTATTATATTATGACTTTATGAAAATTCATAACATTTGCATGCCTATTTTTATATGGCTGATTTTGCCGTTTTTTTATAATTAATCGATCTCAATTTATGTTGAAAGGCAATTAGAATTCAATGCTAAAAAATCCTTTGTGCGTTGGTCCAATTCCTCCGGCATTACTGGAGGTCGATTCGATTTTTCGCAACAATACCAAAGCGGTACGCATACCTGGTGCAGCTGATGCGGAGCAGCAGTGACAACATTTTGAAAATGATAGCCTGTCCCTATCGTGCGTGTTATTCCCACGAGAATGTAAGTGTAGACTCCTATTTCACCATACCAGCAGAAGCTGATAGAGGCCAAATCTTTGTTTTTAATTTTTATTATTATTTACCTATTAATAATAAAAAATATATATTAAGATGTCATGTGGAACATGGTTTGCAGCTCCTTACAAACATTGTGTAAAACAACAAACTTGGCGATTATAAAGAGTGGCGGTGAGTTTATTGCCAGTTCTTCTCGTCCGTTCTCCGCCCTTGATTTGAGAACTGGCATTAAATTTAAATTTAGAAGCATTTAGCATTTAACATGTATTTCTTTATTGATGTTCATAAGTGTACATTGTGTTTCCTTAATGAATAAATGCTTTTACTATTTGCTGTAATTGATTGTTTGATCTCCTTACAGTTGCGGAGGTGAACAGTTTTCTTGTACCTTTTTCTTAATAATTAAAATGAATCTTTTAAGATATTAAAATACTAATTATTGTTACCAACGCCTTAATAACTGACTGAATCGTCTGACAAATTAGTATCATTTGTGAGATTTTTTGAGTAATTTGAAAATGTCTTATAACAATTGGGATATCAATTTAAATTACCACCTTAAAATGAATGAAAGGTAAGTGAATCTTCAGATCCATTTTATTTGTATACTAAATTTAATTGGTTCAATAGTTTTCGACGTTAAGAAAAGTTGCATTAGTAAGTTGCCTTCACTGATTACACAGATCGTAAACTAAAGGGATTATATATAAAAAAAAACAGTAAAATTATTCTCTTATATGATCTAAAATCCAATCAACGTATTTTCTAACATCTGTAAATACAGCTGGAAAATGATTTCCACATGACACTGGTCCAAACGAGCTAATACCATATTGAACATAGCGATAGGTGCCATTATAATCATTTTCTATTATGATGGGACCACCCGAGTCTCCAATACAAGAATTCTCATTCAGATTTCCGGCGCAGAACTGATTTATAGGATCATGTTTATATCTGTTAAACAAATTTGAGCACTCGGCATTGGTAATAAGGTGCATTTCACGATGTTGTAACACAGCATATTCTTGGCCTCTTTCTGTATAGCCCCAACCAGCTACGACACCACTTGTTTTATCCAGGTCTTTGCTACGCAGTGCTGCAGATGTTGGTAGACAGATTGGTTCGATATAAGCTGAAATTAAATATGAAATGTCCATTAGAAAATCTCAAGAAACTACTTGTAATATTTAAATATCGAATTAATACGCAATAATTTAATTTAGAACTAACAAGTCAATAGATACTTTAGTTCATAACAAAACAACGTCCAAAACCGAATCTATTTATAATCTTAAACTTATTCATTATTTATAGATATATCTGTTGTTTCTCTAGCTATCATAAGATACAGAAAAACAAGTACCGACAATACCTTTTAGCTCTAGGCCTAAGCAGGCCTGCACAGTAAGCACTGTAGCCTGTGACTTTGGGTCTACGTGATGTTTATCTCACGATGTTTTACTTTACCCCATGAGCGAGTATTTAATTAGCAGAAGGCCATTGGTGCACAGAAGTGGGTCAAAAATACGACCTCAGGGATAAAGGTACGCTTCAGCCACTGTGCCAACACGGCTGCTCCAGCAACACAGCGTAATTAATAATATTTCTTACGCATTGTGCATACCCACTAAAACTCCAAGGCGCCACCAACAATCGCCCTAGGCTGGGATGCGTTAACAGCAGAGCCTTATCAACTTAAACTAACTAAATGCCTTTACAGTTATAATGATTTAAAAAACTTAAGGCCTATATATACTGACTGATCACTTCTCCGTCTGAAAAGTGTAGCTTGAGCTCGTAAACTACTACCATACTACTACCACATTTACCATGGAGACTGTTCAGAGGAGTTATTAGACCTGTAGCTGAGTATCATCATCGGACGTCCTTCGTTCCACAACTGAGCTTTTTTAAGGCAGTTTTTGCCGCGCACCACCACTATGTGAAACTCATTGAAGTATTTCTAAATCAATACGACTTAGGTCCTTCAGACTGCGTACAAATTCTAAAGAGGCCGGCAACGAACTCGCGAGCCCTCTGCCATTGAGATGGGTGGTGGTACAGATACCGGCAAACATCTTGATCAATTAATTTCCTTGCCTGCGTAAAAGCGGTTTTTAGTTATCACTGTGAGGGGAGAGCGGCGGGTGGTGGTGCGCGGCGGCGGGATAGTGACGTGTCGATCGCGTGATTGGTAAATAAGTTGACGTTTGTGTCCCGCGCTGCGCAAACTTTCACCCACTCCCTTGTTTAATGTTCAAGATGTTTGCCGGTATCATTACCACTTAGCATCAGATGAGCCTCGTGCCCTTTTGCCCCCTGTTCTTTGAAAAAAAAACTTACTGTTATTAAAGTTGATCTCGCCTCCAAGTCGCAATAAAGCGATGTCGTTTAAATGCGTTGATTTGTCATACTTTTCATGAGGGATAAGCGTTACGACATGGAAATCCTGAAATATTAAATGTGTTTTAAATGCTTAAATTAATAGTATCAGTTATGAGGTTTATGACTACGGTTTCGGCGCTTGATGAAATGTTAAGTAAATTAAAACTTAATGCTAAGAAATGTCTTGATGTTTTTATATATTTTCAACTCTCCATGTCCATTTTTGTAGTCGATACTTTTCTTGTATTACCGTCGGGCGTAGCTGACCCGGCAAACGTCGTTTTGCCATAGGTATATTATTTCTAGAAAACATTTTTATAGTTCAATCCAAATAACTTCTATTTACTATAATAAAAAATATGAGTGGCATGATCTGATCGTAGAGAGGTGACAATTAAGGGTTGTATGTATTTTTGTATGCTGTATCATAAAAAAATAAGAACCGAAGAAAATTTGTCTAAAAAATCTTTTTTTTTTTTGGTTTGGACACCCCTTATCGCTTGGGGGTAAGAAAGATAGATAGTAGCTGATTCTTAAACTTACTGAATATGCATGAAAAAATTCAACTAACGAACATTGTGACACGAGAAATTTAAATATAAGATTTTTAAGATTATTAAAAGCAGATACATTTTCTCATCTTATTAATACACATTTTACTAGTAATATTTTGATAACAATAAGCAAAAAGTTACTACTAAAATCTAAAATTTTAAATGTAATATTTTTATTGCTTTTACCTTTAATTTTTTACATTTAATTTTTTGTAAAATTTATGTTTACCATAATTGTTATATATTTTAGAAAAGATAGCTTGTAGCATATACTTTATGATATGGTAAACAATAAATACAAAAAAATCCTCTGTTTGTCTGTTCTGTTTGTACGAATTCATGCAGTTTTTATTAATATCTATAGTTCATGAGGAAGTTTGGTTTACAGGTCACGGGATTTACCCGCTAGTTACCCACACGACAATTAGATTAGTGCTTGTGAATTTTCTTCTTTTTTTCCCCATTTAGTTTAAAATCAGAACCTTATGCGATTTACCTGAACATGATCAGCACACGAATACAATGGTGAGTAGTCGCAGTCTCTATCTGTTGTGGTGTCATATTCTCCTACTCTCACACCCTCTATCTCCTTGTCCAGAACGCAGTGAGCCGCTGTCAGAATATATTTTGAGTTTATGACACTTCCACCACACTGAAATTGAGGTCCGTCTCCTGAAAACAAAATATCAGATTGCTATGAATGATAAAGGAGATTGTAAGTGCGTGCTCCTATTTCACCATGCCTCCTGCTGATAGAGGACATATCCTTGTTTTCAATTTATTTTATTATTATTAAGATTAATGTCTTTAATTTAATTGTAATTAAGATTAATGTAATTCTTAAGATGTTATGTGGAACATCGTGTAATGGTTGCAGCTCCTTACAAACGTTTTGTTGTGTTAGAAGCATTTAATGTATATTTCTTTTTTGACGTTCATAAGTGTACATTGTGTTACCTATATTTGACTTTTGACTTTTTATAGTGACTCAGCGGGATTGTTTAAAAAATGTTATGTAAGTATTGGTCAACAGTTGAGGTATAGGTATAACCTTAAAAAAATATTATATAGACAACGTGATTTTGTTCGCTATGTAAAAATGATTATTTTTATACCTAATTTTCTTAATGAAATTGTCTCCGATTTTAATATCTAATATAAAACTTACGTGTTTTGTAGGCGATTAAGGCTGTCCATGAATATTGATTAGGAAAACTTCTTTGGCCTCCAAGAAGCCTAGAGGACAAAATAGTTCCACACTTTTTCGGTAATAACCTCGCAGCTGAATCGTTTGTTAGGTCTAAAGGCGGTTTAAAGAGTGGTTGGAAGTCTGAGCAGCATACCTAGGAACATGTTAAAACATATAAACAATATAATTAGTTACGTTAACAATGTAGGTATATGTAATACATAAAATTCTCGTGTCACAATGTTCGTTCCCATACTCCTCCGAAACGGCTCGACCGATTATTATTATCTATCTTTTAAACTCCGAAATGTTAAGCGTATTTTTTATGATACAGCATACAAAAATAAATAAAACCCCCACCCCCTAATTAACACCCCTCGACGATCAACGCATGTTGAACTAAAAAAATATTTCCTAGAAATAGTATACATGGCAAAACGAAGATTGTCGGGTCAGCTGGCATATATAATATATATACTCAAACATTGCTCTTACTATTAAGGAGGAGGAGGATTTAAGGAGAATAGACACAGAAGGTAGATAAAATAGTAGAATATGTCATAGACGATAAATAATGCCTCGTAGAAAAATATATAGAGATACTTGAATTTAATTTTTTAATTTTTTAAAATTTTTAATTACGTAATTTTGTATATATACAGGAGGTAATTTTTGATTTAAGGGAAATAAAAATAATCTATAATAAGTTAGTATCACGTCATGCATACTAAAAACAGGATAAAATAATAAAGACAATTGCTGTACTTAATTAACCACAGGTCAATATTTTGAATATGATAATTCATTTGAATCACTTTTCTGAAACCAAATAAGGAAAACGGACCCTGAAGAGTAGGGCTGTCACTCACACAAATCATGTAAGGAGATACTTTTCATAATACCTATACAATTTTATTTTACGACTGAGGAGTCGGAATCTTCACTTCACTTACGCCAGATTTTTATATTTAAAAAGCAGTCAAACTCAAATTAACTTTATTCATATAGCTAACCAAGTACACTTCTGAACGTCAACAGAAAAGATGTTAAATTGATTCTAAATTTACATTTACTACCAGTTCGCAAATCAAGGTCGTAGATGGCTCAAGAAGAACTGGCAAAAAACTCTGCCACTCTTTTGAATCGCCAAGTTTTAGAAAATTATAACGAATGGTTAAGTTAGTTTTTTCTTATAGAACACGGTGCAAATGGGCAGGCTGATATTAAATGACACTGCCCATGGACACTCACACAGACATTCACCGACTTCTGACGACTCCATAGCCGACCATTTTAAGGAGCTGTTTCCATCAGTGGCGTAACAATAGAGTGGCAGGGCTGGCAAAATGCCACGGGCCTCCGTCCCAAGAGGGCCCCTGCCCAAGAGATATTATGTTCTATGGATGAATGTGAAATCGCCAATACGCATTGGGCTAGCGTGGGGACTACAGACCATTCCCTTTTGCCTAAGAGAGGAGGACTATGGCCATTAGTGGGACATATGCAACGTGTAATTGAGTACGCTGAAACTCTCGAAGTTTATTAAAATTAAACTGAGTACAACGTGACGATTTTTACTTATAGGACCCCATAAAAAGAATTTGCCACGGTCCCCAGATGGTATAGTTACGCCACTGGTTTCCATGCCAAGTTATCAGCATCCTGTATATTATTGTATCGGAACCAGAAACTAGGAAATAGACATGATGGCATATTTCATGATTTTTTTTTATAATATGAAATTTATTTATATACCTTAGGGCGCATTTCGTCGTCGTCAGTTTCCCAACCACAAAAGGCATTCAAGAAAAGCTTCCTTGTATCATGATCCTGTTTAAAGCGATTAAGGTCCATGGCTTCATTGCATGTGGTTAATAGTTGACAGTCATTGCAATTTCCTGGAAATCAAAATGTTTTGTGTGGTCTACTGTGTTTTGTTAAGTCCGTGATGGGATATAGTATGACGTTAAGTTTGCTTTTCTATATTTGAATATAATAAATCAGTATTTAGTATATTTAATTTATCAACCCAAAATTATAATTTTTAGTCAACGGGAATGGCCACAAATTTATCTGGAATTGTATAGGAAAAACACTTTTTGTATGGCAATCAAAGATCTTCCTACTAAAGTTTTTAAAAATCGACTTAATGAACTAATTGCGGAAAAAATTATTATTCTATTAATGATTATTTGCGTGAAACATTATAATTAATATTAATTTGAAAAATTGACTATACTCATAATGTAACTTAAATAAAATTCTACCTTTTAAGACAAATATGCACGCCACGAATATGCGAACTTTAGATTGTAATACCATAACATTTTTGTACCATATTCTTGCAAACAAACTATTATTATTAATATAAAACAATATTAATGGGATAATGTGTAAAAGTTGGATGTGTGTGGATATTTCAAAAACCTTTAGGTAAACATTATTTCAAAACTATTTATAAATATTCGTAACCATGTATACTATATTAAATGTTTTTTCCTCTTTAAAATGATATGTTAACATGTATGTTAGCAAACGGAATCATTATGAAATTACGGCCTTCTTTTCTAAAAGCTTCTTTTAAATATCATTTACTTACTCTTTGATAGAACTTCATTTATCTGTAGCACTAGTATACTAAACAATAGTTTTTTGATCAACATTATTACATGCGTTCGAGACGGATCCTCAGAGCCGACTAAGAACACAACTACAATGATTCGACGTAAGAAGTACGATTCTTATTCCCTAGTCGGTCATAGGTTCGTGCAATGACCGACTGCGTGCGTTCATCATATACCTATCATGAAAAGTAATGATTTTGACTTAAGATTCTTGGGTTTGGTCAGCAGGCTGAAATATGATTTATGCCCGTTTCAGGAGAGGGTCAATCACTAAGATAATCGTAATTTACAGAATGTTACCCTAGTTTTCAGGAGGCTGAAACATGTCTTCAGGCAGTTTCAGATCAAATGTAGTCAAGTGGCACACTTTTCAGGAAACCCGTTTTCAAGCGTTTTCAGGCCTGGTTATACCCCTTTGATGAAGGAATATTCTAGACAGAATTCTCTAGGTGTGGGACAAGGACGGTATGATACGCGAGAGAGAGGGGAGATCGGAACCTTCTCGTACGACAAGGACGGAGCAGTGTGCGAAATATAGCGAGTACGCACGTTCTGGAATGGTGCTATCGCTTCTCAGTTGAGACGAGTACTTTTTTAGCTCTCCTGAGCAGAATCTTTTTCTTTATCGTTATTTCTGTTGTTCATTCAGTCTCGGTTTTCACAGGAACTTCAACTCTCAACTATTGTGCCGTTTGTATGATCTAGGCCTTTAGTAGGATATGATGCAGCGGATTTACAAGGTTAGTGAAGTTAGCCCTTGCCTCTACAATCCAACAATGTCGTCGAAATTTCACGTAACATAATTTTTGGTTTCATTTTTGAGCACAAAATTATTCATAAACCATCCAGTTCGCAGCCTCCAACCAGTAGTAGGACTGACATATATGGGTTGATGGGGGAAAAGAGAAGAGGGAAATACATTTTCTGCAATTTCGCTCTTTTCACTCACTACAAAGTGCGCTGAGGGCGCACGCGTCGATTACTGGTTGGAGGGCGCACTAGTTGTTTTACTCTAGAGTATGGAAACTTGCTACTCCAAATGTACAAAGACAAGTGAGAGGTGAAAGTCATAGGCAAATTTTGTTGCAGACAACAGCTTTTTTTTTTTTTTTCCCCCCTTTTTTTTGGGGCGCCCCCCCCCGCGAAACCCCCTGGGGAGTTCGGAAAGTGAGTTACAGCAATGGCAAGGCAATTCTATCTGTAAAACATCAAAAAACCAAATCTTTCTATGAAGTAGTAAAAAAAATCGGTTCCCAAATGCCGCCCCAAAAATCCAACACTGCTCAATTAGAGAAAATAATTTAATAAAAATATCGTTTTATTTTTTTGTGGTTATATGTTTTATATGTATGGTATGGTTTATAGATACACAAAAAGAACAGATTTATCTAAACTAAAATAAAATTAAATGATTAAAAATGAATAGTTTTCATTCAACGCGATTATTTATTTGATAAAAAATCGCAACAGAGAGCAAAGTTTGTTCTCAATATAAGTCAAAGAAGTCTGCTTATACATTGAACGCTAAGAAACGCATTTTCATTTAAGTAAATAATACATACAATAATTACTCCGAAAATCTTAAGATAATTTAGGAGTCTGATTCCCGTTAAGTGTAAAAAATATGGAATCATCGTAACACTGCATTGAAATTATACTTTGATAATGGAATGGATTTTTACACAATATAACAAACATAAGAACAGAATAATCGTCATAGTCGTAAAATAGTGACGGATCTGTCAAATAGTAACCTTTACAGGGCAGCCATTTCAAAATTATATAATCATGTTAGTTTTTTTTGTCACAACTTTTTTAATTTATGTAAACCCTTTAAAAAAAAAAAAAAAAAAAAAAAAAAACCAACCCTCCCCCCCCCCCCCCCCCCCTCCCCCCCCCCCCCCCCTTTTCTCGAACCCCCTTTTTTAGGAGGGGGATTAAAATGTTTTTGAAAGGGGGGGGGGGGGGGGAGGAATGGGCTTTTTTTCAATATTTAAAATTTTTTTTAAAAAAAATAAAAAAAAAAAATAAAATTTTATTAGAAAAAAAGGAAAAAAAAAAAATTTTTTTTTTTTTTTTTGTTAAAAAAAAAAATTTTTTTTTTTTTAATCTTTTTTTAATTTAACGGTTTTTTGGAGGGTTGTAGAGAGAAATTTTAAAAAAAAAAAAAAAAAAAAGGTTTTTTTCTTTCGTTTGTACCCCCCAAACCCCAAAAATTTTTTTTTTTTTTTTTTAAAAGGAAAATTTGCATACAAGCAAAGAAAAGGGTTTGTTTTGAAACAAAATAAAAATAATAACATTATATTACAAAGTTTTCTAGAAAAATCACATGCTTCTATGAGCGTCTATCAAATCCGTCACTTTACCGACTGATTAATTTGAAATTTAAAACACGTGCAATTTTTAATGTAGCCGTAATGTTTAGTTAATGTTGTATACAAAGATTTTGGATTTTTTCAAATCCGACATTGTTCTACGATCATGACCTGTCATGCTTTCAAATAATAGAAAATCAAATCAAAGAAAATACATCGTTAAAAATACAATATCCTCTAACACTACCGCTTTACTAAGAGCTATAGGTAAAATTGTTACCGTTTTACATCAGAGCAACCACTATATGCTATTAATTGCAATAATGGCAAATATTTATTCTATACATTACGCTAATTTAATTATTCTTTAATATTATTTAATATCCAATCGACGTATTCTCTGACATCTGTGTAGACGCCTGGGAACGACGATCCACATTGCATTGGACCGTGCGACACGATCCCATACTGGACGTAACTATTAACATCGTTGTAGTTAGCTTTCATCATTAGAGGTCCTCCGGAATCACCATTACAAGAATCCTTTTTTAGTTCTCCTGCGCAGAACTGTTTCTTAACGGAATCCCGGTTATTTCTGTTGTAGTAGCCTTTACATTCAGCGTCAGTTTTCACAGGAACTTCGACTCTCAACAGTATCGCAGATTCTCTACCAGTTTCAGTGTATCCCCATCCAGCTACTGTGCCGTTTTTATTATCTAGACCTTTCCTACGTAGCGAAGAGGATACTGGCAGACAGATTGGTTCCACGTTTGCTGTAATATTATGAAAAGCATTAATTTTAAAATACACATAATCTCACTCTTTTTTCGTATGATATTTTGTTATTCCATCAGTACATGTATATCTTCATTGAAGGAAGAGGCGTTTGTATGTTTGTTTTTGATGCGTCTGCCACTAAAGATAGCAGATAGTATTTTGTGAGTTAAAATATTTATTAAAAAAAAGGTAATTAGCATTAAACAATACTTACTGTAGTTTAAGAGGATCTCGCCGTCTACTCGCAGCAACGCGATGTCATTCGAGGTTGGTGATCTTTGGTAATTTTCATGTGGTATTTTTTCTTTGACATACATATCCTAAAAATAAATATAATAATAAACAACAACAATGCTTGATGCATACCAAACAACAACATTGTTACTTTAATTAAATGGTGCATTTATCCAGAACTGAATTTAGTAACTGATACTGGGTGTTGAGCGTTATAATTATCAACGAGTCAAACTATAGAGTAGTCATTTAGTAGTCAATGAAAGGAAGTAAATGTTGGCATTGAATTTTTTCACGCACATACTACAACATAACAAGTATCAAGTGGCAAACTTATAAACCATTTAAAGTAGCATGGCTTTTACCTGAATATGATCTTCACAGATAACTTTATCCGGTTCATACTCGCAGTCTCTGTCCGTATTAATGTCGTACTCTCCTATTCTGACACCTTCGATTTTCTTATCAACGACACAATGAGCCGCTGTCAGAATATATTTGGAGTTAATGATAGTTCCACCACATTGAAATTGGGGACCTTCGCCTGAAAAGACATCAAAAATAAGTGCCTTAAGCCTCGATACTTGGGTTGTTACTAGGTTTGCGTAATCGTCACAAACATGCAATGGATCATTCATTTGTTTTCAATTGTGTTAGAGATCACAGTGATGACATTTCAATGTGACATGGACAAATAAACAGTAATAAAGTAACCTTAGTCGATTAAATAACATATTCCTTACACACAGTGTATTTCCAGGGATTTTAAAATAAAGACAGCTGATCTAATGTTACTTAACGCCTACGGCTACGGTAGCAAATACAAAAAAAATATATATGAAAATTTTTGTACAACTTTGTATTGTTATTAATGCAAGCAATAATATTTATTAATTTAGCCATAGTTAAAGAAAACTGTAGTCGGTACTTGGGCCAAAAATGCATCATCATTTTTAATTTATGGTAGCCATAAGTCATCATCAATATATATTTTTTATTTGTTGCTTTTTTTGTCAATGAAATAAGTTTGAATTTTAGTTGTAATAACGATTTTTTCAAAAAATATAATCTTTGGAGGAGCTCTTTGCCGACTGGCAAACAGACCTGCAGAAATCAAGCAAGATCCAAACATAAGAATAGTTTTTTCAATCTTCTAATCCCTAGTTTAATATAATGTTCTATATTTATTTGTGTGTCTAAGTCTATCTGAATAAAATAATAATAATTATTATTAATCTATGTACTGATTTTACTTAACAAAATTCTTTCAACACGTCTACAATATTACACTTACGTGTTTTATAAGATATCAGTACCATCCATGGAAATTCGTATAGTTTGGCCTTTCTGCCTCCAAAAATTCGATTTCCCAAAATGCTGCCACATCTATCCGGCAGCAAGTTTTCTTTATTCATTCCTGCCCATCTATTTTCTATATTTTTGGCCGGTGGAGTTGGTTTCGGTCTATCATTTAAGCTGGGAAAGTCTGAGCAGCATACCTATAAGTAATAATTATGAATAATTTTTACTAGTTCTCGTTTCGAATGAAATTACAGCTTTATGTACTTCAAGGCAAGATTGTTCATGTTTAATACAGGAACTGAGAAGTCTGCCGCTTAGTAGACTATTATACTATATCAGGAGATTATGTATTGACAACGAAACTGTACACAAACGATGACCAAGAACAAAGAAGTCGGAGTTGAGACGAGAAAAATGGGTTTTGGCATACTGGTGTCGTTTGGCGCTGATTATCTTCTGAGTCTTATCGCGTAAGAGCCTTATACAAGCTCCTGAAGCCTAAAGTTGTAGCTTTAATCCTCAGATTCTGTCAAAGACAATCCCCCAGCTACCATTTGTAAAAAAGTATTGGATTTTGACATACGGGCTCAAAACTTTGTTACATCTTTTATGATTTAGTTAACTTATACTATCATCCTTTTAGTTTTTCATTACTATGTTTAAAAATTTCACTACCATTTGAAACACCAATTTGACTCCAACTTTATTATCTGTCAATTATTGAACTTCCTGTGCACTACTAAATAATTTCTTCCCAAAATTTTCTTTTCCGACGAATCTTAGACTAACCTAAAGCACAGAAGGCGCAATATTTTTTGGACTATAAAGATAAATAAATAAAAACTTTTGATTACCTTAACTACGGAATCTCCGTCTTCTATTGCTGTTCCACACACGGCTTTCTCAAATAGCTTTTTTGTTTCATCGTTTTGCTTCAAACGAGCATGATCAACTGCTGCCTTGCATGTGTAGTAAATTTGACAATCATTGCAATTGCCTAAAACAAAAAGTTTTATGAATGGGGTGCTTATTCATAATCGTAACAATCAAATAACCTACATAGTAATAATTAAAAATTTATAAAAATAAATAAATAGAAAATCAACAGATTTGAAAAGTTTGGTCCCTGTGGACCTTTAAGGCTGGCAGCATTTCCTCGCTGTATTGCGATACCTTTTTCATAGATAGGTCTTCTAGCAGTTTTTCTTTAGACTATATCGTGGATAACATCAAGCGATTTAATAACAGCGTATCTTGAATCATTTGTTGCACTTATGTGACTTATCTAGTTCACCTTGACTTATACTATTTAAAAATAAAACACTTGCACTCATAAAACTTTACGAGCAAGCAGCTCTAAGGTCGACTTAAAATCTTTAATTAGCGCCTGTGCACTTGAATCCCACGGCCCAAAAGTCTCAAAGGGAACAAATTCGAAGTTTAAGGAAAGTTTATAGTTACTGACTTAACACTAGGATCCGTCACCTAATTCTCAATCATTATTAATTCTTTATTCTAATTATTGTATATTATGCATTATTGATAACTTAATAATCATTATACGCTTAGAATTATGGTCCGTGAGGTAGTATGCATTGGAATGAAATGTCACTGGAATAACCTAACATTTACCTTAAACGTGAATGTCACTTGCAACTCTTTTTGCGCGGCGATACGATTTACATATTCTCATTAAGCTATTGTTTTAGACTAACGAATGTTGGACTAATGCTTAAGGGTGCAATATAACCTTATGGTTGTACGTGATGATGTATTGTTTGTGTGCATAAATCATTGGTAATTTAAAAGTGACGGACAGTTCTTCTCGTCCGTTGTACGTTCTTACTATTTCAGAACTGACAGTAAATGTAAATTTAGAAGCATTATTTGTTGACGTTTATAAGTATGCATTGAGTTACTTATAATTAAATGATTTTTTTTATTTTGACATACATGAGTTCAAGTTCATATGAGGCGAAAGCGTTGAACCGTTACAACACGCGACCGTGTCTATGATATGAGCCAACAAACTATTGGATTGACTTTATTCAAAGTATAAACTTACAATGATTTACAATTTTGTAGTTAGATATTACTTAATAATCTATGAGATATAATACTACAGTTCAAGAAATCAATTAATTGAGGTTTAAAAAAAATCACTTAATGAGCTAGTTTTAGACACAGGATTGTTTTTTGTTACAATTGTTAGGATATGAGTTTGATATAGAAAATTAGATAACTAAATTTGTTGTATACATTTGTTTATTTACAGTTTTTTAATCAAGCCCACAGATGGTGCAGTTTACAATAAAAGTTAAATTATACGTAGTAACTTTGGATTTTAGTTAAAATTTGGATCAAGATATACACTCGCACCATACAGTTACGATACTAATATGCATATAACTTGATTTAATATACAGGAAAATAATATTTTAAATCTGCCAAAACACAAACGAGTTTTTAATATTTTTCAAGGGCGTCTGTGGTACCAGTTTTTAAGGTGAATAACACAAGTTGTTTGAGGATACCGATGCAAGATGCGTTGAATTTAGATACTCTTTCATTAAATAATTCTGATCCTATGAATTTCTAACTGAATATAACAAAAACATCGTGGTTTTGCCTTAATTAAACTAACTATTGCCTCTTTTAGCAACACGATCTAACCATTTTTTTTATTTCAACAATAATATAAAATTGGACCACGAGTAAAGGAACACAATTAACTATTTTGTCTTTTTTTTGTAAATTCCCAACCATATATATATATACATACTTTAGATTTAACTAAGATAGGGCTAGACAATGTATTATATTTAATACATATGAGTAATAATAATTATAACCTGTTTGTCTATTGCGCGTATCATACAAAGAGCTTTGTTTACAATTTTCTAGATCGATAAGCATTATTTAATATTTAAAAAGTTACTTACGTTTACTATATACTAGATTACACGTATGTAACACTAATAAACATAAAAATATTTTTTTAAACATCTTAAAGGTGTGGTGTTTATGGAACACTAACACAGACTAACTTTGTTCGATCGACTTAAGATGTAATCTTTTATTATAACGACATTTATATGAATATTTGTGTCTGTTTTCCTCAAGTTTTGTAATCAATACATTCTACAATATTAATAATTTCTTAACGCATATGCATTTTTCCTGATTATATACCTGCGGTTTCTGCGCTACGAAAGACGTAAATTGTAATTGTTATAATAAGAATATCTTTTGACGCGAATAAATAAAGGGAAAACGTTTCTTTTGAAATTAAAAAACGTTAACAGTAGTCGTGATTTATATAATTATTATTATTGGTCTAACCTTATAAAATCCATCACATGTTATACGAAATACAAGAAATAAGAGCCACTCATGGCCATGTGTAATACCTTTTCAGAATCCCTATTAAATGCGCCAAAACTTAAAATACAGGGTCGCTTTTCGGTAGAGTATTTTTTTTCACAGTGGGGTCCGAAGTAAACAAAAAGTTCTGATTTGAGAAAATTTTATATCGTATAACTTAATATTATCTTCAATACACTCATCAAACAACCATAAATAGCATGACTAATGCAAGGACTTGTAAGGACCAATCTAGTGGATATTATGAAAAAGATACAGGATGTAGATTTTTTCGAATTTTAATAAGAATTAGTAAGAAAAGTAAATTTTCTTATAAAAACGCAAAATAAATTATAACTCTGCAGGGGTTGAGCATAAGGACCTCCCGTTTTTTTGCAGCTGATGACCTCATTTATATTATATATACATTATATATACGACTTTTTGGCCACCCTGTATAGACCATACAGGGTGGCCAAAAAGTTCCACGTATGCTAAATCTTGTTTTATTATTCAAGTCCACTTAGAACATTTTCTAACCAATGATCTGCCTTGTTTAATGATTGCCTTGTTTTTCTGGTAATCTTGAGGTATCAGATTTGAATAAAAACACAAATGTGATCTATCAACAGTTATTAATAATAAGGAGATGGTATTTGATTTCAATTGTAGATCTAAGTATAGAAAATACATATAGCACCACATTTGGAAGCCGCAGTAGCGAAGTTGTCATACGTAAAGCTGTACATTCTTCGCCCGATTTCGGGATACTAGGGTTGGGTTGTGACTTCTATCTACGGCCATGAAAGATTAAGAAACACTTAATAAAAGGTGCACAAATGCATTTATATCGTGGACTTGAATATAAAATTATAAATTACTGGACACAGGTCACAAATGAAAACATAGATAATAAACAAAACTATTTCTATAATTTGTTTAAAACTTCCGCGCTGGATTCCCCCAATTTATCGAAAAAGATTAACGTCGTAAAATATTCTAAGGGGTATTGATTGCCTTCGAGGTACTTGTAAATGGAAAAGCCGTGATTACAGACATCCAAAAACGATAGCCATATCGATCCCGATTCAATATGGAGTTTTTGTTACAACATCAGTGCTATGGATGTTGAGGGAAGTTGTACACAAAAGATAGATACTATCAAATTCCAGCAATATATGTGATATATATAAAAGTTTTTAAATATTTTACATTATTATAGAGAATTTTTCATCCCATTTTATTTAACATAAACAGTACGCAGAATAGGGAATGCAATCCCAATCCCGTCGGATCCCGATCTCGCGAGATCCTGTGTAATTTTTCGGGATCAGTCCCGAAGCATAATATGACGACATCCCGTCCGAGATTGACGGGATTGGGTGACAATGGAGTGCCGTCGAGATACTGATTTAGTTAGTGCAGAACATACATTGCGTTTCATGATTCGAAAGCTAGAAGACCTAAAAACTCAAAATTAAGAAATAAATTCCCAAAATGTGTCCTTTAATTATAAATAAACACTTTTTTGATACATGACTTCTTTTTTTAATCGATCAACTAAATATGAACTTTCCTTTGCGACATGTATGTGAAAAAATCGAATAATTTTCAAGATGATTTGGAGCAATGGAAAGGCAACGAGACTTTCCAATTGCCAAGCAAATATCTCATAAGGAAATAAATTAAAAATATTATCACACGATTATATCGTAAAGAACCAAACCAAGTAGAGATTAATACGACAATGGTAAACGAAGATCACTTGCCACTTTCTATGATCGCAGAGGATTTAAATATACTACTGCTACACAAACTAATTCTTCACTTCAAGAGGAATTAGAAGAAACTCTCCGAGTGACTAAAAGTCCTTTTACACGTGTATCCACAAGCTTAGATAAATTAGAGTCGGTAATAACAATTTGTGAATTTGTTTTAAGCTAGACGAGATCCCGAAAATCTCGGGATCCCGCTGGATTGATATTTCTAAACTCGAATTTACGATCTCGAGTCGGGATTGCATTACCTAATGCAGAAGTTGTGTTGGAGTTCTATAATTTGTGTCACGGCGCCAATTTTAAATAGGCAACCGCTCGCCACACGGTTTACAGTAATTTAATTTATTTTTATTTAAATTAATTAATTTCTTTATTTTCGTTAACTGTTTTAACGAAATAACATTTTCACAAAGAAAGTATTAACTCATTTTAAGTCGATTTAGTTTCATTCCTAAATATTATATTAATTACAATTAATTTTATCGAACCCAGCCTAAACCTAAGTAATGAGAGATTAGTCTTTATATGTATAATTCTACTGTACGTATGCCACTGAACTACTCTTAAACGGCTGGACCGATTTGAATGAGTTCTTTTTAAGAGTTCGGGTAGCGCCCTGGATGGTTGTCAACTCGGCATATGGTGCTACAGCAAAATGCCATGAGATTCCAAAAATGAAGTGAGTAGATTTAGAAAATTTGGATATTGATTGTGTATCCCATAGGCTTAACCCAAAAAAATTGGTCTATATGGAAAACGCTTACGGAATATGTTTGTCTATGCGAAGCTGGCGTGGGTCGTTAGTATAATAAAATGATTGTTATTTACTGAAAATAATTTGCTTTATTTACTTATTAAGTATTTTAATTGTACTCGTTTTAATAACCCAACGTTTTACGTTATCGTTAGCGTAATACGTTGGATTTGTGATACATTGCGTAATTAAATGACTAATATAACTTAAATCATGGCGTCAATCAAGGCGTCCATGCGTCGGGTTGTCTCTCTCCCTAAAATATGGCGAGGGGGCCGATGGCTGGCCATGCGTCATACTCGTGAACGGGTGCTACTTGTGGTGACTGCTCGTACTTGAATTCGTGTATGCGGTGATGTTAATTATTTCGACTATGTGTTTGCGTGTTGTTCCCACGAGAATGTAAGTGCGTGCTCCTATTTCACCATGCCTCCTGCTGATAGAGGACAACTCTTTGTTTTTAATTTATGTTATTATTATTAATTACTTAAGATGTCATGTGGAACATGGTTTAATGGTTGCAGCTCCTTACAAACGTTGTGTAAAAAAAAAATTATGGCCATTAAAAAGAGTGGCGGAGAGTTTATTGCCAGTTCTTCTCTTCCGTTCTACGCCCTTGATTTGAGAACTGGCACTAAATGTAAAATTAGAAGCATTAATATTATGTATTTCTTTGCTGACAAGTCATAAGTGTACAATGTGTTACCCATATGATTAAATGATTTTTGATTTTGATTTTTTGATTTTTAAATTATTTGCATTTTCCTTAAAATAAAGCTGATCATGACGTCGTCTGAGTAGACAATTTTTTTTGCACATTTTGCCTAGATACTCCGTAATCCGTATGATAAACAATGTCTACTATATTCCTTTTTATAATCAATAATACCTTTTGTTCTAGTACTAATCTAAAATCGCTTTGATAACCTATAATTTTTGAATAGTAAAGATATAAAAAGCTATACCAATCAACAAAAACAAATGAATAAATAAATTCGTTTAATTTAATATTATCACTTATCTGCCTCTTAGGTTTGAAACGTTCGGAGATTTATTTGACATCAATTTTCTTTTTCTCGAATAATATTATTTTTCGCTAATAATGTAAATAAAAGTGGACTTTAACCTGTATTTTGTGACCTTGCTGGAATTTGATAGTTTTTGAGTATGAAAGACTTCCACACTTGTGTGCTTTTTTTTTCACACGATCACAATGCCAGAAGGCTCGCAAGTGCGTTGCCGGCCTTTCAAGAATTGGTACGCTCTTTTCTTGAAGGACCCTAAGTCGTATTGGTTCGGAAATACTTCAGTGCTAATTATCGTTAGTTAGTATGTCCATAAATTAAACCTAAGACTCAAATGTAGATCTGGATTTAAGTAAGCGCAAATCGGCGCACCGAGTCTTCTCAGTCTATATGGTCTGTCATAGTAGGAATGCAAGATTTCTGATCCCTTCTTACATATTTGAGTAATGCGATTCCTAAATGTCACCTCTGAGTTAAAAAATGCAATTAATTTGTATATTGTGTCCAAGCGGAGTATCCCGAAAGCGGAAAACGAATATAGCTTTACGTATGACAACTTCGTTACTTAGGTAGAACATTCAAATGCTGTTAGAACTATTTTCTATTCTCTAACTTGGGTCTACGATTGAAATCAAATAATTTATTATAAAAACTGTAGATATATCACTATGTTGTTTTTATTCAAACCTGCCTTGCGATTCTGTAACTCACTTTTCGAACTCACACAGCAGTTTTCGCATCGGCGGTCGCTCTCAAATTAGTCGTGAAGCAGTCATTTTTTGATTTGGCATTCTGAAAAGGTGGGAGCTTGTAGTTTATTGTTTATTGTGTCCGCCGATGCGAAAACGTGGTTGTTAATCAAATCAAAATACGTTTATTCAGTTTAGATGTCTTAGGCAGGCCGGTTTCCTCACGATGTTTTCCTTCGTCGTTCGAACGAATGTTACACTCGCACATAGAAAGTCCACTGGGGTATAGTCGAACCTAAGACCTCAGGGATGAGGGTCGAATGCTGAAGCCACTGAGACTAAACTTTTTATTTACTCGCGTCAAAACGCATCTTACGTCTTTCCTAGAACAGAAACA